TCAGTTTCCTTAAATAAGGGGCTAGGACACTGAGATTTATGGAGGACCTTTTGGCCCTTACATTCTTAAGAACACATACAACTGAACTGGGTCCAAGAATAGTGGTCTTAACTTACATGTCCCTATGAGGTTCTTCCCTAGACTCCCTCAGTAGGGTCTGGAGGGCTGGAAAGTGAGCTCCTTACTTGGCATCAAGCGGATGGGTACCTCTGAGGGGCCTTTCAGACATCGCCAGTTCAGCGGCTTGGCCTCAGCTGAGCTCCTGCATCTGCCTCTGCCCCTTCCCAGCCCTGGGCACAATGCCGCTGGCAGCTGGTCACTTGAAAATCTGCAGTTGACAGAGCACTTTCTTCATCTACCCCCTTCTGATCTTCACCAGGTGGGCACAGAGACTACATGCCTCTCCACAGCCACCCAGGAAGTAGTGGAAGGGCTGAGTCTCAAAACCAAGTCTCCCAAATTCCAGTTGGCTGGAGGAACTTTTCACCCCTGTTTTACAGTTGAGAAAGGGGTATGGGGAAAGCAAAACAACCATGTGCTCAGTAGGCCCAGGCTCTGGGGTCAGTCACCTTGGCTTTGAACCCCGATTGACCTATTCGGGGCCATGGTGTTCTCATCTGTAAGGCAGGGATCATAGAATGCCTATTTCTTAGGGTTTTTGTGAGAAATAAATGAGTTAATATAGATAAAGTGCATCGAGCAAGGCCTGGCATGTAGTAAGTGCTCAATAAAGGCTAGCTGCTGTCATTGTTGTTACTGTCATCACACTGCCTCCCAGGACTGGGGCAAGGACGCACCGAAATGCTCTATCACTAGAAGGAGAAAGAGGTTTGCAAACTTTGAAGTAATAGGTAAGGTTAAATGTTGTTTAATGCATCCTGGATTGGCAATATTGAGCAAACTGTTCTAGGCTATTGAGCTAAGAACCATTCATGCTGAAGCCCATGTATCAGGTAATTAAATAAAAGAAACACCTAGAGGATTCTGGGTACAAATAGACTCATGTCAGAGAAGCCTCCGGGTGAATTCTTTGGTGGCAGCTGTCTGACAGAAGTCACCCTGGGCAGTGAAGTTCACTGTTATTCTTGAAATCAGGAATCAATTAGATCACAGGGAGTTTGGCCACAGGGTTCTTGGGTTATCTTCTCCAAGCATGGGATTTTTGGAATGAAGTTTTAGTGGCTATCCTGGAATTTTGGCCTGTCGGAGGGCAGGAAGAGTACTCTGTGGCTCAAGAAGAGTAGAAAATGATGTAAGGGGAGATAAAATTAAAAACAGAAAACTAGGCAAAGGATATGTGGGAATTGAGAACACCCAGCTGGGCTGCTGACCTTGAGTGAGTGGATGGATGCATGGTGATTGGAAGGAAGATCTAGCTGTAAATAGAAAGGCTCTCTTTTCCCCTGAACTACCCACCACAGCTGATAGACTCGTGGTAAGGCAAGCAGACTCAGAAGCCAAAATAGAAAAAGGAGATGTAGCAGGAATCATTGAACGCAGACAGGGGTGGGATCCAGACTTGACAAGCACCAGCAATATGGTGGTGAGGCAAAGAAACCAGGGTTGTCTGTGGGTGTGGAGGGACATGTAGAGAAGGGGGAAGGTGGGGTCCTGGAGACAGCTGCAGCAGGTGTTCCAACCTTTTAGCCACACCTATTTTATTTTCTTTATTTTTTCTTTCTTTGCATTCCATTCATTTTTGCTCATTTGTAATTTCCCTAAAACTCCTAGAACTCCCCTCTTTTGCTGATTTTATTCTCTCTGTATGCCAGTTCCATCAAGATCATATCCAAATAACTCAAAGGACTCACTTATTTTAAGATCCAGGATACATGTGCAGGACGTGCAGGTTTGTCACATAGGTAAACGTGGGCCATGGTGGTTTGCTGCACCTATCGACCCATCACCTAGGTATTAAGCCCCACATGCATTAGCTGTTTATCCTGATGCTCTCCCTCCCGCTGCCTCCCCTGACAGGCCCCAGTGTCCTTTTAAACAAGACATGAAGATCATCAAAATAGGCAGCTTTCTCTGCAAGTCTGCAGTCACCCCTTTTGGCCACTAGATGTCGAGAACGCATCAATATGGCACATTTTCTGATCCATTCTGTTATTTGGATGTGATCTTGGTGGAACTGGCATACAGAGGGGGTGAAAACAGCAAGGGGGTTTCAGGAGTCTTAGGGAGATTGCAAATGAGCAAAAATGGATGGAATGCAGAGAAGCAATCTTTCCAACAAGACCCACAAAGAAAAGTTGACTGCATTTTAAATATATGTATTGTTTTACAATTTGGGAGACTTTTAGGATGAAGGAAGAAGGAAGAAACATGGCATAAAAATATATATTCTTTGCATTAGTTAATTTTCTCCAGAGCTTGTAAGCATTTCCAAGTGAGTATGTTTACGGTTCTTAAACCCTGAGCCCAAATCAGGGATGATAATGATGATGGTGGTGGTGGTGGTAGCATCTGATAGATACCTCCATGGCTCTTACTATGCGGAAGGTATTGTTCTCAGCAATTTACAGAAATTGACTCATTTAGTACTCACAACAACCCTAGGAAGTGCTATTATTATCCCTGTTTTACAGATAAGGAAGCAGAGGGCAGAGAGGTTGTATGACTTGTCCAGGGTCACACAGCTGGTGAATGAGAGCATCAGGATTCAGCCCAGACACTTGTCCATATTCTTATCTTCCATGATCTGTAATATATGTTGCCACATTGACTCCTGGCCTATGGCAAAGGGAACTTTCTGAGCAATGAATCAATGATGTCATTTAATGATAAAAGTCACAGAGGCCAGGTGCGGTGGTCACACCTATAATCCCAGCACTTTGGGAATCTGAGGCAGGTGGATCACCTGAGGTCAGGAGGTTGAGCCCAGCCTGCCCAACATGGTGAAACCCCCATCTCTACTAAAATACAAAAATTAGCTGGGTGTGGTGGCGTGCACCTGTAATCTTAGCTACTTGGAAGGCTGACAGGAGAACCACTTGAACCCAGGAAGCGGAGGTTGCAGTGAGCCAAGATCGCACCACTGCACTCCAGCTGGGCAACGAGAGTGAAAGTCTGTCTCAAAAAAAGAGTCACAGAATTCCTCATTCTAATAAACTCACTTCACAGCACTTCAAATGAGAAGGAATAAGATTTTAGGGTTGGCCAGGAATTCATTCTGAGTTCCCCGACCTATAGGGCTTGGTTAGATAGGAGCACATTTCATTTCCAGGAGGAAGCCTCTGCTCTATTAGCTGTTGTAGTGATCCAAACAACAGAGGAGAATGAACAAGGCCCAGGAGCCATGGATTCCAGAAGGTTTTTTTTTTTTTGTTCTTAGCATAGAAAGATGTTCATAAACTTGACATTGCAAAAGAAAAGTACATTTCTAGTTGGGGGCCAGTAAAAATGCTGTTGGTATGAAGCAGCCCGGCCAGTGCTCAGGCTACTAAAGGTATTTATGTCTGCTCAGAAAATGATAATGAATTTAAGAAATTAATTAACAGCTGGATGTGGTGGTTCACATTTGTAATATCAGCACTTTGGGAGGCTGAGACAGGAGGATCACTTGAGCCCAGGAGTTTGAGATGAGCTTGGGCAGCATGGATGAACCTCATCTCTATTTATTAACAAAATGATACAGACAATCTAGGATGATCTGGGAGAAAAAGTGGTGGATTTAAAGTGAGAGACCAGATTTCCAGTATGGTTAAATATATATTTACCATATGACCCTCCATCCCATCCCTGGTATTTACCTAAGAAAAATGAAAATACATGTCCACACAGAGAAATGTACATAAGCATTCATAGCAACTTTATTTAAAATAGCTAAAAACTATAAACAGCTCAAGTAGCTATGGACATATGAATAAGTAAACAGATTGCGGCATAGCCATACAGTAGAATACTTAGCCATAAAAAAGAAGTTCTGATATGTACGACATCATCAGGGAATCTCAGGAAAGTTATGCTGAGTAAAAAGAGGGCTGACCCAAAGGAGTTTATATTTTATGATTCCATGGAACCAGATTCTAGAACACACAAAACCAATCTACAGTGACACAAGGCAAATGTATGATTGGGGCTGGGATGGGGTCAGGGATTGGCTGCAAAGGGGCATGAGGGATCTTTCTGGCACACTGGGAGTTCTATATTTTGCTTGTGGTCCTGGCTACATGGATGTAAAGTCTGGTGGCTCTGAACTGATGCTTTGAGCCTCTGGGCCTCAGTTTCCTTGTTTGTCAAACTAGAAGGTTGTTAGATTAGATGATGTCTATAATTTCTTCTGGCTCAGAAATTTTCCCTATAATAACAGTATCCATTTTTATTATGGAAGTAGAGTAGCAAAGTCCAATTTGCTTTATAGGAATTGTTTTTATAGGCAAGGATGAATTTATTCCAGAGAGCAGAGAATATCTATTGGGTTACTTAATATTACTCATTTTGGGTACAGAGCCATTTGCAACCCATTGCACTTCAGAAAACAGCTGAGAAATGATTTGTGTGTAAGAAGGCTGTTCCCCATTGGAGTCCCATGGGGATGTGAGGAGGGGCCTTCCCAGTGGCACTGGGAGGAGAGGGAGGGAGGGAGGGATGCCAGAGTCACTGCTGGCAGGGCTAGAAAGGACAGCTGAGCAAGGGCCAGGCTTGCCTTGTCACCTTGGACAGTCCCCAGATGCCTGGAGCTGTGGTTACCCCTTTAAATTTCCTCCTTTTAATTTATTATTATTATTTTTAAATTTCCTCTTTACTGGCCCACACCTGGCTCTTAGGGCTTAGTGATGTTGCTGCTGCTGTTGCTGCTGGTCGTTACCACCATCATCATCATTGTCCAGTCCTCAGTCTGTACAAAAGTAAAGGAAGGCAGGTGCACAGAGCGTATTGTGGGACCAGGGCAGCGGCTGACTAGAGTGTAGGACTTGGTATGGAGCCAGGAGCAACAGGGAGGGCAGTATTGGGCCATAACCAGGTGCTGATTTCCCCTACTTGTGTGCCCCCAGGTCATGAAAACCTACCACATGTACCATGCGGAGAGCATCAGTGCAGAAAGCAAGCTGAAGGAGGCCGAGAAGCAGGAGGAGAAGCAGTTCAATAAGTCTGGAGACCTCAGCATGAACCTTCTCCGGCATGAGGACCGGCCCCAGCGCCGCAGCTCTGTGAAGAAGATTGAGAAGATGAAGGAGAAGGCGAGTGGGGCCCTGGGCTGGGAGAGATCAGGCACAGGGCACAAAGGGAAGGGACATGCTCTTGGCGGATAGCCTTGGCCGTCCCTTTTATTCCCCTACATCCCAGTGGGGTGGTAGGTGTTGGGGGTATGGGACAATGTAGCCATCATCTCCTCTTTTGGAGGTCCATGGAAGCAGGGCTGGCCATGCCCCTGCTAGCACTGGTTAGGCCTGGCTTAGTGCTAAGGTCAGCGGCAGAAGAGGGGCTCAACTCAAGAAAGTTGAACTGTGATGAGATTCACGCCCAGCAAGCGCCTTCTCAGATGGGCTGGAATCATCAGGCATTAGTGGGAACAGGGGCTTATTCTGGAAGCCAATTTGATAACCAAGTTAGGGGCTGGGGGTGAGGTGTGAACTGATTACTGAATGTGTCTCTACAAGAGGCACCAGCACCTGGAAACATGGTGAAGGGCTGATTCCAAAATTGCCGTTGCCAACTCAAAGACGAGAGAGTTAGAATCCCTGTGTATTGATTCTGGAAAAGTCCTTTAGTAGGGCATGGTGGAAGGAATTCTAACTTTGGAGTCAGTTGGGCTAGGTTATGAAAATGCCACATTTACAACACCTCTCTGAGCCCCAGTTTTCAAATCTGATAGGAGTGGCAAATTCGTCTCATCTTTCATGTCAACTCTGATCAATTGCCCAGAGTACTGGGTTGAGGATTGGGAAACCCTATCCAGGCTTAGTTAAAAACAGTGCTATAGGGCTGGACACAGTGGGTCATGCCTGTAATATCAGCACTTTGGGAGGCAGGGGTGGGAGGGTCGTTTGAGTCCAGGAGTTTGAGACCAGCCTGGGTAAAATGGCAAAACTCCATCTCTATTTATGAACAAAAGGGGTGGGGGCAAAGAACTTGAATAGATGTTGCTCTTAAAAAAACATATACGAGTAGCCAATAAGTATGTGAGAAAATTGTCTGGGCCAAGCATGGTGGTTCACTCCTGTTAATCCTAACACTTTGGGAGGCTGAGGTGGGCAGATCGTTTGAGCTCAGGAGTTTGAGACCAGGTTAGGCAACATGGTGGAACCCCATCTTTACAAAAAATCAAAACATTAGCCAGGCATGGTGGTATGTGCCTATAGTCCCAGCTACTTGGGAGGCTGAGCTAGGAGGATCACCTGAGCCTGGGGAGGTTGAGGCTGCAGTGAGCCATGATTGTATCACTGCACTCCTGCCTGGGCAACAGAATGAGACCCTGTCTCAAAAAAAATAAAATCATCTATATCATTGATGATTAAGGAAATGCAAATCAAACTCAATAAAATATCACTTCATACCTGCTAGGATGGCTAGAATTAAAAAGGCAGACTATATGAAGTATTGGTGAGAATGTAAAGAAATTGGAATCTTCATACACTACTAGAGGGAATGTACAATGATTCTATCACTTAGGGAAGCAATGCAAATGTTAAACATAGACTAAGTTACCATGTGACTCAAAAATTTTGTTCCTAGGTATCAACCCAAGAAATAAAAACATATGTTTGTCAAAAACTTGTACATGAATAGCAGCATTATTCACAATAGCCAAATAAAATAAAATAACCAAGCAGGGAATGATAGGACTACAACATAGGGAGAAGCAGAGTTGAGAGGGTGCTAACTGGGAGTACAGAGGCTGACTGTTAGTTCAGAGTTGTATGCTTAGTTCGATTAGCTACTTGGCTCTTGGGCAAACCACTTCTCTCCGGTTCTCATTTCCTCATCTATAAAACAGATGAGTTTAACAAAAATACGTTTAATATCCTTTCTAGGTATAACATTTTATGAGTCCATGAAGAGTTAAAAATGGTCTGAGGGTTATGGTCATAGTGGGCCACTGGAAATAGGCCAAGAATATCAAAACTCTTTGTGGGGGTTGGGTGCATGGCTGGTGTAGAATGTAACCGGCAGAACCCTAGAGAAAAGTTAGAGATCTCTGAAGAGAATTAAAATGTTGAGAACTCATTGTGGAATAGGTGTAAGAATGTCTAGATGAAGGAGGAAAACCATTTATTTACAGAGACCTGACATTTCACCCAGCAGGGGTCTCTTCAGTCTTAAAGGGGCAGGGGACAGCGCTCCAGCCTGTTTACTCTTTCCTCCTCCATTCCCAGGCTGGCCCAGACAGGAGTAGCTCCCTGGGTGGCAGCTGGGTCCCAGCCAAGATGGGCTGCTCTGACTGCCCCCACCTCCTCTCCCCACCACACCCATCCAGACAGCCATTCTCCTCCCTCCTGTCCTCCAGTCACTGAAAATCACCAAATACCTACATTGTGCAAGGACATTTCTGTGTGCTCCAGACCTAGCAATGAACAAGGCAGATCAAGTCCCTAACCCCACTTATTTTCTAGTGGGAGGCCACTGATAATCAGCAAGTAAATAAAGGGGTTTAAAAAATGCAATTTCAGGTGGTGGAAGTGCTTATAAAGAAAAGAGCAGGGCAGGGGTGGGTAGAGGGAGGGGGAGAGGTAGATGAGCTTGTCGTCAAAGGCCAATCTGGCCTTGAGACCTTGGGTCAGGACCTGAAAAATGTGAAGGGGCAGGTCACGTTGGGATTTGGGAGGATGGTCGGCCGGGTTGAGGGAACCACAAGACTGAGGGCCTTGAGATAGGAATGAACTTGGCATCTTAAAGGATGGACCAAGGAGGCTGAGCAAATGAGAGGGAGCATGGGGGAAAGCAGGGCTTGAGAAGTGGTCAGGAGCCAGGGCACGGAGGGCTCCTCAGGCAAGAGCAGCAGTTTGGGAAGTCGCTGGAAGGTGCTGGGTAGGGGTCTTATTTATCTATTTATTTATTTATTGAGACAATATCTTGCTCTGTCACCTAGACCTAGAGTACAGTGGTACAGTCTTGTTCACTGCAACCTCCATCTCCTGGGTTCACGTGATTATGCCACCTCAGCCTCCTGAGTAGCTGGGACTACAGGTGTGCGCCACCACACCCAGCTAATTTTTGTATTTTTAGTAGAGATGGGGTTTCACCATGTTGACCAGGCTGGTCTTGAACTCCTGACCTCAGGTGATATGCCTGCCTCGGCCTCTCAAAGTGTTGGGATTACAGGCATGAGCCACTGTGCCCGGCCAGGGGTCTTATTTACACCCCACCTTGGCAGGGACCATCAGAAGGCTGCTGCTTATCTAGTGTCCTCACTGGCTGCACAGGTGCAATCTAAGGGGATCTGCCTGACTCCACGTCCAACCCTTTCCCTTCTAACAGATGGAGGTCTTCCATAGGTGTAGCTGTGCAGGGCTTGAATGGCAGGCAGCTACCATAAAGAAAAGAAATCACTGAGCCAGTCATGGTGGCTCATGCCTGGAATCCCAACACTTTGGGAGGCTGAGGTGAGAGGATGGCTTGAGGCCAGGAGTTCCAGACCAAATTGGGCAACATAGTGAGACCCCATCATCTCTAAAAAGCTAAAAAAAAACTGGCCAAGTGTGATGGCATGCATCTGTAGTCCCAGCCACTCAGGAGGCTGAGGTAGGAGGATTGCTTGAGTCCAGGAGGTAGAGGGTGAAGTAGGCTATGATCACACTACTGTACTCCAGCCTGGGTGACAGAGCAAGACCCTGACTCTAAAAAAATAAAAGAAAATCAAAAGTCCTGTCCTCTTAGATGGCTTGCTCTTACATCTACTCTTTTCTTCTTCCAGAGGCAGGCCAAGTATTCTGAGAACAAGCTGAAATGCACAAAGGCCCGAAATGACTACTTGCTCAATCTGGCAGCCACCAATGCAGCTATAAGCAAATACTACATCCATGACGTCTCCGATCTGATCGATGTAAGCTCCCTAGGGAGTCTGGGACTGAACAGGGCCCACACCTGGGCTGGTGCATATCACTGGCTGAAGGAGGGGCTGATCTTTGTCTTTAGCTGACATTCTCGGATAGCCAGGAGTCTTTTGAGCCCTGCTAGAAGGGAAGGGCAGCAAATGTTTGGGAGCTGGAAAATGAGTGTTACCCCCTGGTGTCTATTTTCACTAGTGGGACATGGGCCTCTGGTGGCTCCTGTGCAGTTGGCTTGGGCAGTTGTATATCCAGTGCCAACTTTCCAAGTACCCTCCTGGACACCAGGTCCTTTGGTGGGTTTGAGGGGTTCAGGGGTGAACCATATACAGTGCATGCCTTGGGGGATTTCCCAGTGTGATAAAGGAGATGTTATTAGTAATATGTTTAGCGCCCCTAGGGCTGCTCAGCCAGACACACATACATGTGAAAGAAAATAGCAAATGAGACAGAATTAATTATGCAGATCAGCTTTGCCTAGGGAGGTTATCTTGGGAGAAATCGGGGAGCTTAAGCAAATGGAGAACAGAACACTGACTCCCCAAGTACCAGCTGTACAGGACACGTGGCAGGGACAAGCAGACTAGGAGAAAGAACACTGTGAGCAGTGGCGCTGGGGAGGGCTTCTGTGTCATCTAAGTAGGAGCCAGGACTGGGTTTCTATCGTGTTCCTCTTCCTGCACAGATGGGGGAGCTGACCCTGTCCGTGCTAGTAAGGGCTTGGTACTGGTTGATGAGCTCTTTTCCTGGTGTATCCTATCAGGAAGTCAGGGAGCTCCTGCTATTCCCATGGCTCCAGAGGGGGACCCATTGTCAGCATCACAAGGAAAGGGAGCTCCCAAATGGCCCAAGACCAGACCCTCCTCTTTACTACCTTTCAACTTTCCTTTTTGCTCTTTCAGTCCTTTTATTCATTCATTTACCATATCTTAATTTGAGCACCTGCTGTGGTCTAGAACTTGAGGTGCAGGAGCCAGTGGGTCGGCCCACAAGGAGCTTACCTTACCAAGGACTTGTTGATAGGTGTTAATACTAAGTGGCAGGGGTCACAGTGAGGGAGGTGGAGGGAAACGTGGACACTTGGAGGAGGAACACCTGACCAACTCTGAGTGGGGAGAATATCAACGAAGCCTTCCTGGAGGAAGTGACCTCTAAACTGAATTCTGAAAGAAGAGTATTCCAGGTGGAGGAGATGCATGCATGCCACCTTAAAGAAGAGAAAGATGGTGAATGTAGGGAGCTGAGTTCTGCTATTGCCCAAATCTCAACCGCAACTCCTCCTGAGGGCCATGGTGCTGTTTGTGCGGTAGGATTCCAAAGTGCCTCGGGACCTCTGGGATAGAAGATTCGGCTGTGGAAAGGGAGGTAGTCATGTCACTGTGGTTGCTGGTGACCACCCCTCTACGTCCTGGCTCTCACCTGCATCCTTCTGTTGTTGCCTCTCCCCAAGTGCTGTGATTTGGGCTTTCATGCCAGCCTGGCCCGCACCTTCCGGACCTACCTCTCAGCTGAATATAACCTGGAGACGTCTCGCCACGAGGGGCTGGACGTCATCGAGAATGCAGTGGACAACCTGGATTCCCGAAGCGACAAACACACAGTCATGGACATGTGCAACCAGGTCTTCTGCCCTCCACTCAAGTTTGAGTTCCAGCCCCACATGGGGGATGAGGTAAGCTTCCCCTAGGAGACTGGGCTCGGGGCTGCCTCCCTCTCTTCCCCCATGTGCTCCAGAACATCAGCCCTGGTTGCACATACAGGAAGTTTCTATCCAAAGCCTGGGGTCAAGGTCTTGGTTCATGGGCTTCCCCAGCCAAGGAGTTTACCACTAATACCCCAATCTTACGGTCTCAAATCCCCCCTGTGCATAATTACAGGACCTTGGCTTTCCTTAAAGCCACTCCCAGCTATATCTAGAATATTCTAAGGGAGCCCTGGTCTGCACACAGGCTCATGTTCTTCCCTCAGATGCCCAGATAAGGTGCACAGGAAGCCTGAGCCTCACCACAGCCATTCAGGCTGGCCCATTCCGCCAGGGTGTGGGCAGAGCTCCCTTCCTTCAACACTACACGCCTTTGATACACCAGACAATCAAGTTCCTTCAGTGCTTGTGCTGCTCAGATCCTTATTATATTCTAAAACAAAACAAAACACAAAAAAAAAGACCCAAAAGAAAACAAATGAAAAACAAATGGGAAGAAGACACTTGTCACTGGCCCCAACACAGCCCTACTAGTTACCCAAGGCTTACAAAATTCCTTATGCAAATAGTTCCTTGAGTTTGTCTGTGTCACTGCTCCCTTTGAGCACTGGGAGAACCCATTTGAACAGTGTCTCAGACCCAGCCAGCCTCTGGGTCCCAGTGAGGCTCAGCTGGGCCATCTGTGGCACTGGGAGAATATCAACGAAGCCTTCCTGGAGGAAGTGACCTCTAAACTGAATTCTGAAAGAAGAGTATTCCAGGTGGAGGAGATGCATGCATGCCACCTTAAAGAAGAGAAAGATGGTGAATGTAGGGAGCTGAGTTCTGCTATTGCCCAAATCTCAACCGCAACTCCTCCTGAGGGCCATGGTGCTGTTTGTGCGGTAGGATTCCAAAGTGCCTCGGGACCTCTGGGATAGAAGATCTGGGAGGGGCAAGGAAGCATCTGAGAATATGGCACTTGCTAGACTCTCTGCGTGGCTCTGCCCACTTACTTCTGCAGGGCTGCACTACTGTGCCTGCCCCCTTACCTCTGCCTTCAACTCCAGCCCTTTCCACACATCACCTGGGCCTGAAAATCCTGGCCCCATGGTGACCACTGGTGACTGTAAACTTTGGGTTGCACAGTTAGTGGCAAATAACTAGCACTGTCCTCAGAGCTCTGCTGTCCCTTGTGATCCTAGCTGTGTTCCTAGAAGGGGTGAGGTGCACATACATGCCTGCCAGCAGCCCAGCCCACAGGTAATACTGCAATCCCACATGAAAGGTGGAGGACAGTGGCTCACATCTATAATCCCAGCACTTTGGGAGGCTGAGGTGGGTGGATCACTTGAGGTCAGGAGTTCAAGACCAGCCTGGCCAACATGGAAAAACCCCATCTTTATTTTTAAAAATACAAATATTAGCTGGTCATGATGGTAGGCACCTCTAGTCCCAGCTACTTGGGAGGCTGAGGCAAGAGAATTGCTTGAACACAGGAGGTGGAGGTTGCAGTGAGCCGATATGGTTCCACTGCACTCCAGCCTGGGTGACAAAGTGAGACCCTGTCTCAAAAAAATGAAAAAAAAAAAAAAAAAAAAAAAAAAAAAAAAAAGAAAGCTCTAACTTAGTCAATTGCTGGGGGATGAGGAGCTATGAGCTGTGAGAGTGCATTGTCTCACAGTTGCCCCGCTGCAGCATTGCTCTGCAGCACAGTGAGAGCACACCCTGGTCCTTTCTCATGTAGGGTTTTTTCTATTGATTTCTCTTAGGTGGTTGCTTTCTTGCCACAACTTCTTGCCATGAAATTAACCAATTAGTTTTGCTTAATAAGAGTATGTTAAGGTTCTTTGTAAACCTTCTAGTGCTTCCCAAATGTAGATCATGACTGAAAGGCCACACCTGGCAATGGCAAGAGGGCAGACTTTGAGTAGGGAGACCCTGGTTCTCATCTGGCTTTGGTTGCCACAGCCACTATGAGCTCTGTAACTATGGGCTGGGCACTGAACCTTTCTGAGCCTGTATCCTGGATTGGGATGTTAATTGTAGCCCTGCCCTAGCTCCACACAGGTGAGGAGGGTACAGGGCAACCACAGATAGTGGCTGTTGTTTCTGCAGGTATGCCAGGTCAGTGCTCAGCAGCCCGTCCAGACAGAACTGCTCATGCGGTATCACCAGCTGCAGTCCAGACTGGCCACCCTCAAGATAGAGAATGAGGAGGTGAGTGAGTACCTCTACCCTATAAGGGACTTCCTTTGGAAGATCTGGCTTGTCCCAGGGAGTCTACTTGTGCCATGGAATGCATAAGAAATGATGGTTCCACTTATAAGATGGCGTAGTATGCAATCATTAAAAACACACACTGCCGGGCACAGTGGCTCAAGCCTGTAATCCTAGCACTTTGGGAGGCTGAGGTGGGTGGATCACCTGAGGTCAGGAGTTCAAGACCAGCCTGACCATCGTGGAGAAACCCCATCTTTAAACACACATGCACACACACACACACACCCCAAGAATCATTAATAGCCTGGGGGAACACTTATAAGATGTTAAATTGAAGGAAAACAAAAGGTGGGAGACTGAGGCAAGAGAATCGCTTGAACCTGGGAGGCGGAGATTGCAGTGAGCTGAGATCATGCTGCTGCACTCCATCCTGGGTGATAGAGTGACGCTCCATCTCAAAAAACAAACAAACAAAAACAAAAGGAAATAGGAGTCTATGTTCTGTATTGCCATAACTGGAGTAAACTGAACCATGTGTATATTCCTAGGCATAGGAAAAAGACTGCAGGGAAATGCTTAAATGTTATTAGTTATTATGTTTGGGTTGTGGGGTGATAGGTGCTTTCTGTTTACTTCTTTGAGCTTTCTTTTGTTTTCTGCAATGAATTTCTGTTTTATTATTAGAAAATACACTAGATATTTTAAATTACACAATGAAATAAACAACCCAGGGAGCACTAAATGTGTCATGGATTCTGAGCTCCAAAGAGCAGGTCAGTCTTCACAGGCCCAGCCTCCCTTCCCTGTAGCTGGGGGGCATAGGATTCTCAGCAGGTGGGTGCAGATGGAAATACCAGTGCAGTGGCTCTATTCTGATGTGGACTGAAGAGGCCACATGGGAAACATCGTATTCCAACCTCCTCCTCCAAGGAGGATGTCAACTAACTGGAGGCCCCTGGAGAAAGAACACCAGGATGTGGGGAGTGACACTCAAGGTCATGGGCAGGTTTATTCTTGAAAGTGCAGTCATAGTGGGAGGTGGGAAGATGCAGTTATGGTCTTCAAATCTCAAGAGTGCTATCCTGGGCAGAGAGGGCAGCTTTGCTTTTCATCTCCACAAAGGACAGACCTAGGACAAATGTGAGACAGATTGGAGCTCAGGATGATAGCAAATCAGTGCAGTCCCTGGGGGTAGGTTGTATGGAGACAAATTATATATTTGTTTTTCAAACCTGACAAGAGACAGGAGATGAAGAGAGTGTTTTCTTTATTTATTTAAGCCCTACATCTTCCCCCAAAGGATTTTAAATTGTTTATGTGGAATAGTATATGGATCATAACGTTAATGGAATTTAAATTGGAAATCAGGTCCAAAGAAAGGAGAATGAAGCCACTGTTCCTCTGTATGAGCTTCTAACTGTCTTGGATATGCTTAATTTTGAACCAGAGCTTCCTGTCTTGCTGCATTAGGAAGAAGAATTGATTCATGTATTCATTCAACAATATCCATTCAAGTGACATTTATTCAAGTATTTATAGAACACATACTGTGTGCCAAACATAGAGAATAAAGTGAGTGAACATAACACAACATAGCACCTTCTCTCCAGGAGGGAATATTCTCATGAGAAAAAACAGATAATAATTAAAACTGTCAACAGAGAGAGTCAAACTCTATAAAATACTTGAAGAGTTTTATTCTGAGTCAAATATGAGTGACCAAGGGCCTGTGACACAGCCCTCAGGAGATCCTGAGAACGTGTACCCAAGGTGATTGGGCCACAACTTGGTTTTATACATTTTAGGGAAATGTAAGGCATCAAACAATACATGTAAGATATATTTGGTCTTGAAGCAGGGGCTTTCAGGTCACAGGTGGATTCAAAGATTTTCTGACTGGTGGTTGGTTGAAAGAGTTAAGTTATTGTCTAAAGAATGGAAATGTCTTGGTTGAGATAAGGGGTTGTGCAGACCAAAGTTTTATCATACAGATGAACCTCCGGGTAGTATGCTTTAGAGAATAGACTGTAAATGTTTCTGTCAGAGTTAGAGTCTGTTCTAACAGTAATATCAAAAAGGAGGAGGGTATAATGAGGCAGGTTTGCCTGCCCCTTCCCTTCATACCCTGAACTAGTTTTTCAGATTAACTTTGGAATACCAAGAGGAGAGGTCCATTCAGATGGATGAGGGCTTAGAATTTTATTTTTCATTTACAAAACACAAAAACAAGCCAATAAATGAATGAGCTTGGAAAATATTAGACAGTGATAGGCACTGAGTGAAGATATCGGGGGGACTGATGTCACCAGAAGGTGACATTCAAGCTCAGGTCTGAGTGATAAGAAACAGACTTTGAATGACAATAATTTTATACCAACATTGAGGCAGTTTTTCCAGGGACTGTTTTTGGAACCAACCTCCAAAGCAAAGAATCTGCCCTTTAGCCACAGTTACGCAAAGGGTGTTGGGAGGTCAGGGTCCATGGGCCCTGTTTGTGCAGACTTCTGGTGAGTCCTCAAAATTCTAGAAGAAAAACTGGAGTCCTAACTGAACAATGTGTGCCTCAGCAACTGTTTTCCTGGAGTTTTCTTTTCTGAGCCGGGCTTTTGATAGGACTCCAGCAGCAGATAGCTGGAGAGTTTGTTCATGATGGATGTCTGCCCACCATTGTCAACTTTGTCTCTATCCTTCTCTGAATGAAGAGAACTAGAGCATGTCTAATGTTGTCCCTACTCACCTGACCACCTTGCATTGGAGGAGCTAGCTTGCAGTTACATAATTAGGCCAAGAAAAATAAACCTAGAAACCTGGGTTCCTCATTTGTCACAACATTCCTCAAGATTCTCTCTGACAGAAGCCATACAATAAAATGTCTTTAAATTGGGCAACCTGGCTTTGGATCCCAGCCAGCTGTGTGATTTTGGGCTGGTGACTAATTTGTGTTTTCCACATTAATACAATGAGAAGGATTATTTTGGTTCAGCCTATATCCTAGGGGCTTTATATGGAAGAAGTAAAGTGACCGTTGAAAAAGGAACTTTAGGTGTCAACAACAGTATGAGAATACAGGATTTTTGTCAATCTGCTGTGTTCCCCCAGGTTAGGAAAACCCTGGATGCTACCATGCAGACCTTGCAGGACATGCTGACGGTGGAGGACTTTGATGTCTCCGATGCCTTCCAACATAGTCGATCAACAGAGTCCGTCAAGTCTGCTGCCTCTGAGACCTACATGAGCAAGATCAACATTGCCAAGAGGAGAGCCAACCAGCAGGAAACAGAAATGTTTTATTTTACAGTAAGTGGCATCCTAGGCCCAGAACCACACTGTCTGCTGACCCACTGGCAACCCAAGCGACTGACAGCCAGAGAAACCATATGGGTCAATTGGACCTAAGACTTTACCACCATGCTTTTATTTTTTTAAATTTATTTTATTATTATTATTATTTTTATTGCATTTTAGGTTTTGGGGTACATGTGAAGAACATGCAAGATAGTTGCATAGGTACACACATGGCAGTGTGATTTGCTGCCTTCCTCCCCTTCACCTATATCTGGCATTTCTCCCCATGCTATCTCTCCCCAACTCCCCACTTCCCACTGTCTCTCCCCTATTCCCCCCAACAGACCCCAGTGTGTAGTGCTCGCCTCCCTGTGTCCATGTGTTCTCATTGTTCATCACCCGCCTATGAGTGAGAACATGCGGTATTTCACTTTCTGTTCTTGTGTCAGTTTGCTGAGAATGATGGTCTCCAGGTTCATCCATGTCCCTACAAAGGACACGAACTCATCGTTTTTGATGACTGCATAATATTCCATGGTGTATGTGTACCACATTTTCCCTGTCCAGTCTATCATCGATGAGCATTTGGGTTGGTTCCAGGTCTTTGCTATTGTAAACAGTGCTGCAATGAACATTCGTGTGCATGTGTCCTTATAGTAGAACAATTTGTCATTCTCTGGATATATACCCAGTAATGGGATTGCTGGGTCAAATGGAATTTGTATTTCTAGGTCCTTGAGGAATTGCCACACTGTCTTCCACAATGGTTGAACTAATTTATACTCCCACCAGCAGTGTAAAAGTGTTCCTATTTCTCCACATCCTCTCCAGCATCTGTTGTCTCCATATTTTTTAGTGATCGCCATTCTAACTGGCGTGAGATGGTATCTCGATGTGGTTTTGATTTGCATATTTCTCTAATGATCAGTGATGATGAGCATTTGTTCATATGTTTGTTGGCCGCGTATTTGTCTTCATTTGAAAAGAGTCTGTTCATATCCTTTGACCACTTTTGAATGGGCTTGTTTGTTTTGTTCTTATAAATCTGTTTGAGTTCTTTGTAAATTCTGGATATCAGCCCTTTGTCAGATGGGTAAACTGCAAAATTTTTTTCCCATTCTGTTGGTTGCCGATTCACTCTAATGACTGTTTCTTTTGCCGTGCAGAAGCTGTGGAGTTTGATTAGGTCCCATTTGTCTATTTTGGTTTTTGTTGCCAATGCTTTTGGTGTTTTGGTCATGAAGTCCTTGCCTACTCCTATGTCCTGAATGGTTTTGCCTAGATTTTCTTCTAGGGTTTTTATGGTGCCTGGTCTTATGTTTAAGTCTTTAATCCATCTGGAGTTAATTTTAGTGTAGGGTGTCAGGAAGGGGTCCAGTTTCTGCCTTCGGCACATAGCTAGCCAGTTTTCCCAACACCATTTATTAAACAGCGAATCCTTTCCCCATTGCTTGTTTTTGTCAGGTTTGTCAAAGATCAGATGGTTGTAGATACGTTGTGTTGCCTCCGAGGCCTCTGTTCTGTTCCATCTCTGTTCTGGTCTGTATCTCTGTTTTGGTACCAGTACCATGCTGTTTTGATTACTGTAGCCTTGTAGTATAGTTTGAAGTCCGGTAGTGTGATGCCTCCCACTGTGTTCTTTTTTCTTAGAATTGACTTGGCTATGCAGGCTCTCTTTTGGTTCCATGTAAAGTTTAAGGTGTTTTTTTCCAGTTCTGTGAAGAAGGTCATTGGTAGCTTGATGGGGATAGCATTGAATCTATAAATTACTTTGGGCAGTATGGCCATTTTCGTGATATTGATTCTTCCTCGCTATGAACATGGAACGTTTCTCCATCTGTTTGTGTCCTCTCTTATTTCCTTGAGCAGTGGTTTGTAGTTCTCCTTGAAGAGGTCCTTTACGTTCCTTGTTAGTTGTATTCTTAGGTATTTTATTCTCTTTGTAGCAATTGTGAATGGTAGTTTGTTCTTGATTTGGCTTTCTTTAAGTCTGTTATTGGTGTATAGGAATGCTTGTGATTTTTGCACATTGATTTTGTATCCTGATACTTTGCTGAAGTTGCTTATCAGTTTCAGGAGATTTTGGGCTGAGACGATGGGATCTTCTAGGTGTACAATCATGTCGTCTGCTAATAGAGACAATTTGGCTTCCTCCTTTCCTATTTGAATACCCTTTATTTCTTTTTCTTGCCTGATTGCTCTGGCTAGAATTTCCAGTACTATATTGAATAGGAGTGGTAAGAGAGGGCATCCTTGTCTAGTGCCAGATTTCAAAGGGAATGCTTCCAGTTTTTGCCCATTCAGTATGATATTGGCTGTTGGTTTGTCATAAATAGCTTTTATTATTTTGAGATACGTTCCATCAATACCTAGTTTATTGAGGGTTTTTTAGCATAAAGGGCTGTTGAATTTTGTCAAAGGCCTTCTCTGCATCAATTGAGATAATCATGTGGTTTTCGTCTTTGGTTCTGTTTATGTGGTCAATTACGTTTATAGATTTGTGTATGTTGAACCAGCCTTGCATCCCCAGGATGAATCCTACTTGATTGGGATGGTAAGCTTTTTGAAGTGCTGTTGCAATCAGTTTGCCAGTATTTTATTAAAGATTTTTATGTCTATGTTCATCATGGATATTGGCCTGAAGTTTTCTTTTCTTCTTGAGTCTCTGCCGGGTTTTGGTATCAGAATGATGTTGGTCTCATAAAATGATTTGGGATTTTGGATTATTTGGAATAGTTTCAGAAGGAATGGTACCAGCTCCTCTTTGTGTGTCTGGTAGAATTCGGCTGTGAACCCATCTGGACCTGGACTTTTTTTTGTGTAGTAGGCTCTTAATTGCTGCCTCAACTTCAGATCTTGTTATTGGTCTGTTCAGGGTTTCGGCTTCTTCCTGGTTTAGGCTTGGGAGGAGGCAAGTGTCCAGGAATTTATCCATTTCTTCCAGGTTTACTAGTTTATGTGCATAGAGTTGTTTGTAATAATCTCTGATGATGGTTTGAATCTCTGTGGAATCTGTGGTGATATCCCCTTTATCGTTTTTTATTGCATCTATTTGGTTATTCTCTCTTTTCTTTTTTATTAATCTGGCTACTGGTCTGTCTATTTTGTTGATCTTTTTGAAAAACCAGCTCCTGGATTTGTTGATTTTTTTAAGGGTTTTTTTATGTCTCTATCTCTTTGAGTTCTGCTCTGATCTTAGTTATTTCTTGTCTTCTGCTAGGTTTTGAGTTTTTTGGTCTTGCTCCTCTAGCTCTTTCAATTTTGATGAGAGGGTGTCAATTTTGGATCTCTCCTTTCTTCTCATGTGGGCACTTATTGCTATATATTTTCCTCTAGAGACTGCTTTAAATGTGTCCCAGAGATTCTGGTATGTTGTGTCTTCGTTCTCATTGGTTTCAAAGAACATCTTTATTTCTGCCTTCATTTCTTTGTTTATCCAGTCAATATTCAAGAGCCAGTTGTTCAGTTTCCATGAAGCTGTGCGGTTCTGAGTTAGTTTCTGAATTCTGAGTTCTAACTTGATTGCACTGTGGTCTGAGAGACTGTTTGTTTTGATTTCCATTCTTTTGCATTTGCTGAGGAGTGATTTACTTCCAATTATGTGGTCAATTTTAGAGTAGGTGTGATGTGGTACTGAGAAGAATGTATATTCTGTGGATTTGGGATGGAGAGTTCTGTAAATGTCTATTAGGTTTGCTTGTTCCAGGTCTGAGTTCAAGTCCTGGATATCCTTGTTAATTTTTTGTCTGGTTGATCTGTCTAATATTGACAATGGGGTGTTAAAGTCTCCCACTATTATTGTGTGGGAGTCTAAGTCTCTTTGTAAGTCATTAAGAACTTGCCTTATGTATCTGGGTGCTCCTGTATTGGGTGTGTATATATTTAGGATTGTTAGCTCTTCTTGTTGCATTGATCCTTTTGCCATTATGTAATGTCCTTCTTTGTCTCTCTTGATCTTTGTTGCTTTAAAGTCTATTTTATCAGGGAAGAGAATTGCAAATCCTGCTTTTTTTTTGCTCTACATTTGCTCGGTAAATCTTCCTCCATCCCTTTATTTTGAGCCTTTGTGTATCCTTGCATGTGAGATGGGTTTCCTGGATACAGCATACGGATGGGTTTTGGCTTTTTATCTAATTTGCCAGTCTGTATCTTTTGATTGGGGCATTTAGTCCATTTACATTTAGAGTTAATATTGTTATGTGTGAATTTGATCCTGCCATTTTGATGCTAGCTGGCTGTTTTGCCCGTTAGTTGATGCAGATTCTTCATTTTGTTGATGCTGTTACTTACCATTTGGTATGTCTTTGGAGTGGCTGGTACTGGTTGTTCCTTTCTATGTGTAGTGCCTCTTTCAGGAGCTCTTGTAAAGTAGGCCTGGTGGTGACAAAATCTCTGAGTACTTGCTTGTTCTCAAAGGATTATGTTTTTCCTTCACTTATGAAGCTTAGTTTGGCTGGATATGAAATTCTGGGTTCAAACTTCTTTTCTTTAAGGATGTTGAATATCAGCCCCCACTCTCTGCGGGCTTGTAAGGTTTCTGTTGAGAGATCTGCTGTGAGTCTAATGGGCTTCCCTTTGTGGGTAACCTGACCTTTCTCTCTGGCTGCCCTTAGCATTTTCTCCTTCATTTCAACCCTGGTGAATCTGACGATTATGTGCCTTGGGGCTGCTCTTCTTGAGGAATATCTTTGTGGTGTTCTCTGTATTTCCTGGACTTGATTATTGGCCTGGCTTCTAGGTTGGGGAAGTTTTCCTGGATAATATCCTGCAGAGTATTTTCCAGCTTGGATTCATTCTCTTCGTCACATTCAGGTACACCTATCAAATGTAGATTAGGTCTTTTCACATAGTCCCATATTTCTTGGAGACTTTGTTAATTCCTTTTTACGCTTTTTTTCTCTGATCTTGCCTTCTCGTTTTATTTCATTGAGTTGATCTGCGACCTCTGATATCCTTTCTTCTGCTTGGTCAATTCGGCTGTTGAAACTTGTGCATGCTTCGCGAAGTTCTCGTGTTGTGTTTTTCAGCTCCATCAATTCACTCATATTCCTCTCTAAGTTGTCCATTCTCATTAGCATTTCGTCAAATCTTTTTTCAAGGTTCTTAGTTTCTTTGCATTGGGTTAGAACATGTTCTTTTAGCTCACAGAAGTTTCTCATTACCCACCTTCTGAAGTCTGATTTTGTCATCCATCACACTCATTCTCCATCCAGCTTTGTTCCATTGCTGGTGAGGAGTTGTGATCCCTTGCAGGAGGAGAGGTGTTCTTGTTTTGGGTGTTTTCCTCCTTTTTGTGCTGGTTTCTTCCCATCTTTGTGGATTTACCCACCTGTCGTCTTTGTAGTTGCTGAGTTTCAGATTGGGTCTCTGAGTGGACGTCCAGTTGATGATGAAGTTATTTCTGTTTCTTAATTTTCCTTCTAACAGTCTGGCCCCTCTGGTGTAGGACTGCTGAGGTCCACTCCAGGCTCTGCTTGCCTGGGGTTCACCTGCAGCTGCTGCAGAACAGTAAGGGTTGCTACCAGTTTCTTCTTCTGCTATCTTTGTCCCAGAATGATGCCTGCCAAATGTCAGTCTGATCAGTCCTTTGTGAGGTGACTCTTTGGATATATGGGGGTCAGGAAGCTGCTTAAGGAGACAGACTGTCCTTTATAGGAGCTCAAGTGCTGAGCTGTGAGCTCTGTTGTTCAGAGCTGCTGGGCAGGTATGTTTAAGTCTGCTGCAGCAGAACTCATAACCCCCCCTTTTTTTCCCCAGGTGCTCTGTCATGGGGAGTTAGCGCTTTATTTATGAGTTTCTGTTGTGCTGCTGCCTTTTTATTTCAGGGTTGCCCTGCCCAGCAAGGAGGCAGCCTAGTCACTGTCTGCCCGCAGAGGCTTTGCTGAGCTGCTGTGGGCTCTGCCCTGCTGTCGTGTGAATTTCCCTGCAGTCCTGTTTATATGGGTGTGGTTAGAACTGCCTTGGCAATGGTGGCCCACCTCTGTAATGGCGGACTCTCTCTGTAGTGGTGGGTTGCCTTGGCAATGGCGAGGTGCCTCAGCAATGGCGGACTACCTCTGTAGGGGTGGAGTGCCTCAGTAATGGTGGACGCCCGTCCCCTACACAGCTGGGCCATCCCAAGTTCAGCTGTGCTTGCTGTGAAACTCTCAACCCAGAGGGTTTCCAATTGCTGTTTTTTTTGAGGGGGGGGAGTGGGACCCGCTGAGCCTGATCACCTGGCTCCCTGCCACAGAGCCTTTTTTTTTTAAGTTGAACAGTCGACTCTCCCAGCTGTTCCAGTTGCCTGTTGAAAAGGCACTGGGATCTGTGTGATTACCCGTGCTTTGACCCACTGCACCAGCTGAAACAATGGTGCTGCCTGGGAATCTCCTGGACTGGCTCCCTGTTTCTGTCCCCTGTTTAATCAGATGAGTGGGCAACTCTGTGCTCCTGGAGCTCCAGTTGCCAGCTTAAAAGGGCAACCAGACCAGTGTATTTTGTACGGAGAACTGCCACGCTGGGGTGCCAGCAAAATAGCCACGCTGGCGACCCGTGGGGCTCCTCCACCTGGGAATCTCCTGGTCTGTGGGCAATAAATATCCATCTGGAAATGCCTCATCCACTCACCCTCTGTGCTTCCACTGGGAGCTGCAATCCTTAGTTGCTCCTAAACCGCCTTGGATCCTGTCCTCCCAACCACCATGCTTTTAAAATTAAGTTACCTGGCTTGGTTTTCTGAAATGCAGAAAGTGAATTCCCAATGGGTAGCATTGGCATTGATCTTGGGTGATGATTATTGAAATTTTCTTGCTCTAGAAAAAAACCAGAGACAGTTTTATTCAGTGGGGTGATAAGAAAATGGCTAACAGCATCAGGTACAAGTCCCAAGTAATAACCCTAAAATTATATATAGAGATTATCATGTTGAATTGTCTGAAATTTAGGTGTGGGCTTTGGAAAAAATGTCCTCAGACATTTATGTCTCTGAAAACTGTCAAGGGTTCTGCTGGATACAAAGGGGAGTGACTTTTTTTTTTTTTTGACACAGAATCTCACTCTGTCATCCAGGCTGGAGTGCAGTGGTGTGATCTCAGCTCACTGCAACCTCCGCCTCCTGGGTTCAAGTGGTTCTCCTGCCTCAGCCTCCTGAGTAGGTGGGGCTACAGGCATGCAGCACCATGCCTGGCTAAGGTTTTTTTTTTCTGTGTTTTTCGTAGAGATGGGGCTTCACTGTGTTAGCCAGGGTGGTCTCGATCTTCTCACCTTCTGATCCACCTGCCTCGGCCTCCCAAAGTACTGGGATTATAGGTGTGAGCCACTGTACCCGGCCCAGGGGAGTGACTCTTAATGGCCAATAGGCCAGGTCCTGGAAGCCAAGGACCATGGAAAAGGAGAGGGGAAACTATAACCTCCCACCAGCCCAGTCATTCCAGAAACCCATCAAGGGTGGGCCAATGTGAGATGACCCCAGTCTTATTTGGTATATGTCAGCCCCCACCCCAATGGCTCTTTCCCCCACAGCTGTCAATGGGAGGGTGATGATGTTAGAGATCTTCCTCTACAGTTTACTTGGGGGTGTCTGAGCCTCTGCAACTCACTTTTCTCTGCCCCTTTTTTAGAGTGCTGGCTGGGGCAATAGAGTGGGCTTCTCTTTGAGAAACTAGCAGATAGAGTTGGGGCAGTCACATCTACCTCCTTGACTTTATCCTCAGCTTTTGTAACTGCCATGTCCCTTGCTTGCAAGCTCCTTCCCGCAGGTCCCCACTTGGCCCCTTTCCTCCTCCTTCACGCCTTGGCTCAAATGCCCACTTTGCAGGGAGGTCTTCCTGGACTTACAGTCCACTGTTCCCACTTTATTTTATTTGTTTACTTTTTTTGTGGAGATAGGGTCTCACTCTGTTGCTCAGGTTGGAGTACAATGGCATAAATATAGCTCACTGCAGCCTCGGCCTCCTGGGCTCAAGTGATTTTCTCACCTCAGCCTCCTGAGTAGCTGGCACTACAGTACATGTCCCCATGCCTAGCTAGTTTTTTAAACTTACTTTTTAAGAGACTTGGTCTTGCTTAGATGCCTAGGATGATCTTGAACTTCTGGCCTCCAGCAATCCTCTCACCTCAGGCTCCTGAGTAGCTGGAATTACAGGCGTGAGTCAACATACTCAGCTCTGCTTTCTTTTTATCCATAGCATTCATCACCACCTGACCAAGTGGTATCTTACTGTTTTTGTTCATTTATTGCTTTCTTCTCCACCCAACCACATAAGCTTCAAGAGGACAAGGATCCAGTGAAATTTCTCAGCACCTACTCTAAGCCAATCACAGTTTTAGGCACTGGGGAGCTGGAGATGAGCTGGGTGTGGAGTCCACCCTCTAGCAGCTGGCCATGCAGCAGAGGCATGCCCAGCAGGGCTCTGGGACTGTGTGGGTGGGGGAAGCTGGTACCTATGTAGAGGTAGCTGAGGCCCAGGATGAGTTCTGAGCAGGTAGATGTGTTTCTGTCCTGGCCTGTTCTCTGTCCCTCAGTGCTGCTATAAGGTGCACTGCATTGGCCAGGACCCTGAACTAGGAAGCAGGCTGGGGCAAGGGCCTGGCCCATGGCTGACTTTCCATGGGATTTTGGACAAATCACTTTCCAGTGAAAACTTCATTTTTCTCATCTGTCCAAAAAAGAAAATCCTATTGCCCACTGCAATTTGGGTTATTTTAATGGGAAAGCCTCGCAGGGGCCTGTAGACCCTTTCTCCTTCAGAACCGTCCAGATGAAAGGAAGAGTCGTTCCAAGGCTTCTCTCTGATAGATCCGATAAAGCTCTCTGGCCTCAGCTGTGTGGCCCCTGGGACGGCTCCCATTTTTTGTGCTCTTGGCACAGAAGTACAGTGGAGCTTTGATGACTTCAGAGGCCCTTTGCTTTGTCTCCACACAGACCTTACCTGACAAAGGCAGCTTTCAGTGTTCCCATTCTTCCCAGAATTGCTTTGTATTCCTAACCCCTTACCTGAAAGGCCAGAAGCCTTGCAAGGGCCAGTCCTCCGCATGGCAGCGCTGGGGATCTAGATGGAGGAAAGCAAAGGCACAGACGCAGAGGCCTCTCTGTTCCCTGCCCCAGGGTCCCTGCAGGTGACGTGATCTCTCTTTGGCTTTCCTGTCCCAGAGGTCAGTTGTAGAGGCAGAGATCCCATTACTTGGCCTTACAATCTATAACTTCCTTGTGCCTTGTGTCTTACAGAAATTTAAAGAATATGTGAATGGCAGTAACCTCATCACCAAGCTGCAGGCCAAGCACGATTTACTCAAGCAGACCCTGGGCGAAGGTGAGTGAGGTGGCAGAGGCCCTCTGGGAGGAGCTGTGTTCCCCACTGTGTTTTGCTGTGGTCCCCTGATGTGTTGAGCTGTTTAAGCTTGAGACGACAGGCACCTGGCCGAATGAACCTGGACTTCCCTACCAGGACTGGGCAGGCTGGGAAAATCACCTTGGTACAGATGCCTTGAGGGGTCCAATCTGGCTATAGAAAATAGTGGGTGTGACTTGCTTTTTGATTAATAGAAAGAAAAATAAATAAGAAAAAAAAGAACATAGAGGGCAACCACAAGTCTTGGTTTAGGTTGTCAAGGATGGTCCAAGGCAAGTGATAGAGTGGCCCCCATCAGGTAGGGAGTGGGAATCCAGGGCCTCAGAGGCCAACACTGATGTTTTTCAGCAGACACTATTTGCAAGGAATACTGTTGGAGTGTCTTGTCAGGGTTCTAGGTCCAGAAAAGGAAAATCCATACATGTAAGTCAGGGTTTCATCCTTGAGGGAGCTGGAGACTAGGCTGAAAGCCACCCAATGCCTTCCAGTGGTAGTTGGAATAAAATCCCAGCTGCTCTTATGGCATGTGAGGCCTTATAGCACTTGGCTTCTGCCTGCTTCCCTGACCTCATCCGTCATTCTTCTCTTCCTTACTGTGCTGCAGCCATGCTGAGCAAATTTCTGCCCTTCAGGATTTACCAAGCTTATTCCTGCCCCAGGGCCTTTGCATCTGCACGGGTAACCACCACCCAAATCAGGGGATAGAGCATTTCAGTCACCCTCAAATATCCCTTGTACTCCTTTGCAGTCAGCCCCCTATGCTCTACTCTGCTCTGTTTCTGTCACTGCAGATTAGTTCTGTGTGTTCTAGATAGTTAGAGCTGGGGAGCTTTGGGGGCTGATGGAAATAAATGTTCCATATCCTGACTTGAGGAGTGATTACACATGGGGGTAGACATTGGTTAAAACTTGTTGATTGGTGGATAGAAGTGGGGAAGACTTAGTTGCAGTGAGCTTTTTCTTCATTCTTTCCCTCTAAATTTTACCCATACTGACATTTCAGTATCAGGGTGTAAGGGGGATGTGGAGGAGTATGGGTAGCAAAGAGGGAAGAAAAAAAGTGAGAATGGAGAACAAAGGAAGAAAGTTCAAGAGTGGAGCTCAGGGTGTATGTGCCATGAGGGCAGCTTCTAAGACTAGCATTAAAGAGGAGGATTGGTGTTTATAGGCACAGGGCAGGGGGTTGTTCCTCATGAGCCAGGTAACAAAAGGCCGGACAATATGAGTATGTGGCTACTTGCATTTTTGAAATCAGATGCTGAATTTAGAAAGCTAGATCTTTTTTAAAAAAAATAAGGTCCTGAGTCTGGTGCAGTGGCCTGCCCACACGTTCTTGGCACAGAAGCACAGTGGAGCTTGGACGACTAAAGAGGCCTTTTGCTTTGTCTTTCGGGTGCCCTTACCAGACAAAGGCAGCTTTTACTTTCACTGCTCCCATTCTCCCTGGGCTGGCTTTGTATTCCCAACTCAAATGATGATGATGATGACAGTCATTATCATCATCATCATCACCACCATATTTAGTTTTGGTTGGCATAACTCCTGGTCCATTTGGTCCTCCAAGTTAATTTAGCCTTCAACTATGCCTTGCTCTAAGATGGCTTTACCAGTCCCTTTTCTGAGTTTTGAGCTGATTAGCAACAAAAAACTCCTGGAAAATGCAGTTTCAGAAGTAGAGGGACAGATAAGAAAAAGCCATCGAGAAGAATCTCTTTACTCCTGTGTTTCTGTGAGCTGGCCTTGGAAAGGCTCACTGTGCTTCCTTCAGCAACTGGATGGTTCTTGATAGACTGGTCAATTCTAGAGAAGTTTTTTTTTTTTTAAGTAAACTTTCTATTTTAAAGCAGATTTAGAACTACAGAAAAGTTGGGAAGATAGTATGAAGTTTTCATATACTCTGCATCTAGTTTGCCCTATTATTGACATTTTACATTAGTATGGTATATTTGTCAGCATTAATGAATCTGATTCATTATTATCAACTGAAGTTAATGAATTACTGAATGACTGGGGAAGGTGAAAGCTGAATAAATTGACACCAAATCTCTAGTCATTTTTATGTAGCCACTATACGATAAAGATACATGTAGACTCTTAGGGCATTGAGTGAAAAGGGAGAATTTGAAACCAGGAGAATCTGCACTGACCTAACTGATAAATTGGAAATTGGCTATTGGGTGAAGGAAGGAGAGAAAAAAAAATCAGCAGGCCAAAGAGAGCTCAGAATCTTAGTGAATTCATCCTTCTGAGTGTCAACCAGTGACTCACCTTTTCCTGAGCATTTTGGTTCTTCTATTCAGTAGCACTCTCTTTCTAAGAGTAGGGTAGGGTTACAGCTGCATCAGCGGCCTTTTTATGCCATGTGAGGGCTATTTTGTATTGGGAGGGGATGGTCTGGAAATCTTGAAAGCAGGTGAGAAATATGAAGCCAACAGGATATTTTGGCTAGAAAGATACAAGGCTTCTTTTCTTTTAAATGAGATGAAGTATCATATCTAGTGCCTCAGCTTCTCCAAAGTTCAGTAGCTTTCCTTTATTTGTGGCTTTGCTTTCCATGGTTTCAGTTACTTGTGGTTAACTGTGGCCTGAAAATACTGTGTGTTCTGGGTAGTAAGAGTTGGTGAGCTTTGGGTGCTGACAGAAATAAATGTTCCATATTCTGATTTGAGTAGTGGTTATACATAAGGGTAGACATTTGTTTAAACTCCTTGATTGAGGGATAGGAGTGGGGAAGACTTAGTTGCCATGAGCCTTTTCTTCATCCTTCCCTCTAAATTTAGAATGGAAAATTCCTGAAATAAACAATTCATAAGTTTTAAGTTTCTCACTGTTCTGAATAGCACAATGAAATCTTATGCCGTCACACTCCATCTCTGAAAGGACACGAATCCTCCCTTTGTCCAGCATATCCACCCTGGATCTGGTACCCACCTACTAGCCACTTAGTAGCTGTCTTGGTTATCAGATCGAAAAAACAGAGGGCGTGTAGGATTTGGGACTATCCACAGTTTCAGGCATCCCTCTGGGTCTTGGAACGTATTTCTCACAGATAAGCGGGGACTGCTGCGCTCTTTTGACAGGATAGCTCAAGGAAACTACAAGTTAGATGAAGCCCGAGGTATTTTTGGTCAGCTTTACTTAGAAGCAAATTTGAGAACATGATTGACCCCAGACACACCAGTCAAAAAGCCTCCAGGTGCTCGGCAAATAGCATTCCCTGTTACAAAGGATGTCACTGGTGCCTCTTGGGAGCAAAAGCACACATGTTAGCTGTCACTATGCCATTTTATTGGCCAGAGAATTCTCAGTTCATCATCATCGCTGAGTTGTAGACTTATGACCTTTTTATTGCTCTGGGGTGGTAGTCTGTAAGCTCTAGGGTTTACACTCAAGGTTGTGGGTGGTTTTTCAATTTCTGAAAGCCCTTCAAGGGTGAATGAATAGTACACTGCCTATAGAAGGGAAGAAGTATAACTTTTTCAGGCCAAGGTGTAATCACCCATTATAGAGCAAAATGGCCACCAGGACCAGGCCATCTGACTTTCTAGTAAATGACTGAACCAGCAACTATAAAATATATTTTTAAAATATATTTTATATTTCACATCCTGAAACTTTTGGTTTCTACCTGCCCCCATCTGTCTATCCAAGAGCATAGGCATTTTGTTTGGCCAGGCCTGGGGAGATAGTGGTACACAGAAAGTTAAGGTCCCAGCATTTATGGAAAAGAGAGACCTCAAATGGGAAACAAATACTAAGTAAAGAATGATAATTGAGCTGGGTGTGGTGGTGGCCCTGTAATCCCAGCTACTCAGGAGGCTGAGGCAGGAGAATTGCTTGAGGCAAGGCAATGGAGGCTGCAGTGAGCCAAGAGCACGTGGCTGCATTCCAGCCTGGGCAACAAAGCAAGACTCTGTCTCTTAAAAAAAAAAAACGGGGGATGGGGTGGGGGTTATAATTGTGTTAAGTTCCATGAGTGAAAAATTTGAGATAGAGAACAATCGTATATATGTTGTGGAGAGATGCGGGGGGACCTGCTTTAGATGGGGTGATCAGAGAGGCTTCCTAGGAGAATTACTGTTTCTGCTGAAACTAAAGGATGAGAAGGTATCAGTCAAGTGAAAAACCAGGGAAAGACTTTCTGGGGAAGAGGGGACAGCATTTGCAAATGGGGGAAAAGATGTGGTGAGTTAGAAGAATTGAGAGAAGGGTATTGTAACTAGACCATGTTGAGTACATAGAAGAGTGGACAGTTTGGAAACCCAGAGGAGGGGGAACAGGAAATTAACCCTCCTTGTCCACTAATCTCAGGCTATTGCCTGATCACTTTCATGGTTTGCCATCTGCTGTAACAGGAGGGCTTGGGTTTACCTGAAAATTTTACCCAAACTAGTGTCTGGTAGGAATTTGCTCTTGATTCCAGGTACACAGTCAAATCAAACAGGACAAATTTCCCTGTTTTTTTTTTTGAGATGTGATCTCGGCACACTTCCACCTCCACCTCTTGGGTTCAAGGGATTCTCCTGCCTCAGCCTCCTGAGTAGCTGGGATTACAGACACCTGACACCATGCCAGGCTAATTTTTGTATTTTTTTAGTAGAGATGGGGTTTCATCGTGTTGGTCAGGCTGGTCTTGAACTCCTGACCTCATGATCTGCCTGCCTTGGCCTCCCAAACTGCTGGGATTACAGGTGTGAGCCACTGCACCCAGCCGAGCTTACCTATTTTACCTAACCTTTCTCCTTTCCTGCTTTGGTCTTTGCTTCCAATTCCACTGATGTAACTGCCTATGGCTTTGCTCAGGAATTAAGGAGTTTCCTGTTGATTCACCTCAAATTCTGTTTTCAGACCCAGGTTACTCTCTTCCTCTCCTTATTTCTCTTCCTGGTCCCATTCTGCCTCTTTTTTCTTTCTTTTTTTTTTTTCTATAGATAAAATGCTCAATTCTTTCTTCTAAAGTTCTCTTAATGTTAATGCTGGGTGGGATTTCAGAGTTTGAGAGCTGTGCTGTCCAGTATGGTGGCCACTAGCCATGTGTGGCTGATGAAAACTTGAAACATGGCTAGTCTGAATTGGGATGTGCAATATTAACATCAGATTTTGAAGAGTTAGCACACACATATACACAAAATAGAAGATATCTTATTAATTTTTCTATATAGATACGTATTGAAATGATAATCATTTTAATAGTAGGTCAAATGAAATATATCATGAAAATTAATCTCACCTGTTTCCCTTTTTTTTTTTTTTTTTTTTTGAGATGGAGTCTAGCTCTATAGCTCAGGCTGGAGTGCAGTGGCACAATCTCAGCTCACAGCAACCTCCAACTCCTGAGTTCAAGCGATTCTTGTGTTACAGCCTCCCGAGTAACTGGGATTACAGGTGCCCGCCACCACACCCAGCTGATTTTCATATTTTCAGTAGAGATGGCGTTTTACCATGTTGGCCAGGCTGGTCTCAAACTCCTGACCTCAAGTGATTCACCCACCTCAACCTCCCAAAGTGCTAGGATTACAAGTGTGAGCCACCACACCCAGCGTCACCTGCTTCTCTTAACATTTTGTAATGTAGCTACCAGAAATTGTGGCTTGTATAAATTTCTACTAGACAGTACTGGTTTCAGAGATTCTGAACTGGAAGCAGTTCGTAGAATATTAGGAAATGGAGAGCATTTTTGGAGCAGTGACTGGAATAATACTGCTGGTATTTGGTGAATGAGATCCAGGGATGTCAGCATCTGCAATGTACTAGACAGGCAATGAAGAATTTAAACTCAGGATATGAAGGTTTAAAGAAAGGAAGTGGCTCGTCCAAGCTCACGAAGTGAGTTGATAAAGGAGTTAAACAGTAGGACTCAGGCCTCTTTGTTTTCAGTATAATTTTGGTAGGAGAAGGAAAAGATATTATTTAATCTCTTCATTTTGAGTGCCACATCCCTGCCAAGGCAGCTGTCTTCTAATGTGTGGCATCCCTGAAGCCCACAAAGAGGGGATACTATAAGAAGCCAAGTACCGCCTTTATGGAGTCCCTGCATCCGAGGCGCATTCTGCTGGGGACATCTATTCTCCCTCACCTGTGTTTGTGGAGGTGAAACCAGCTTCCCTGGGTAAGCTTGGGTTTGAAGTTAGACAACCTGGATTGGGCTCTACATTTAGCAGGGACTTGGGAAAGTCACTCCATTTCTCCAAGTCTGTTTGCTCATCTGTTGTGACAGGTAAGACACCCTGTGTACAATTGTGCTGTGACACTTATTACACTATTGTGTGATCTACTTATTGAGTCATTTGGCACTAAGCTTCTTGCAGATAGAGCACTTGTTCATTCATTTACTCATTCTACAAATATTTATTGAGCACATACTTTGTGTCAAACACTGCCCGAGACCTTGGTGTCATAGTAGTTTTAATAACTGACAAGATTCCTTCTCATACAACACAGTATCTTCCAATGGAGATAGACTGGCAGTGGACAAGTAAATAAATAATAAGAAAAATATTAATGATAAGCTGCATGTATTGAGAATTTAAAGAGAGAAATTCTACCTATAAAGAGACAAGTGTCTGCTTTAGATAGAGGAAGCAGCCTGGGCAACATAGTAAGACCTTGTCTCTACTAGAAAGAAAATAGCTGGACATGGCGGTATGCACCTGGGGTCCCAGCTACTTGAGAGGCTGAGGCAGGCGGATTGCTTGAGCCCAGGAGATTGAGGTTGCAATGAGCTGTGAGTGCACCACTGCACTCCAGCCTGAGTGGACAAGAGTCTCAAAATAAAATAAATAGATAGATGAAGCTTGTCTCTGGACAGCTTTTAAGTTAAGACCCAAAAGACAAGGAGGAATGAGCCATGCAAAGGTTGGGGCCAAGAGAATTCCAGGCAGCAAATGCAAACGCCTACTTGAGGACCACACAGAAGCCTCTGCATCTTTAGCAGAGCACACAAAGGAAAGAGTGTCCCAAATAGATGGAGTGGCATTTTGAAGGGTCTACTCTGATCTCAAAGGGTTTATAAAGCAGAGTAAGAGGTCTGGATTTTGTCCCTTATCCAAGGCTCTAAGCAATGGAAGGACATGGTCTGATTTACAGTTTAAAGAGATTGCTTGGCTGCTGAAGCAAGAATGTATGGTAGCGGAATAGGAGACCCAGTTAAAAAGAAAGTGATCCAGGTAAGAGATGAGCATGGCCTGGCTAAGAAGATAGTGTTAAGATGGAGAGAAGTGTACAAATTTAATTTATAAAGGAAAGACAGTTTTCAAGGGGAGTGCCTATTGGACTTCTGGCTTAAAGAAGAGGGTGGGTGGATGTCCACCTATTGAGATATTGAAGACTTGGGTGGGAGTAGGTTTCGGGCATGGAAAGAAAGAGTGCTTTGGGAAACATTTAAGGTATGAGATACAAAGAAGGCAATTTATGTTGAATGGATAAAGAAAATGTGGTCTACCCATATAATGGAATATTACAAAGCCATATGAATTACTAAAGAATGAATTACTAAATCGTATTATATGGATAGACCCCAAAAGCTTTATGCTAAGTAAAGGAAGCCAGATGCAAGGGACCACATCTTATATAATTCCATCTATATAAAATGTCTTGATTAGGCAAACCTGTAGAGACAGGGAGTAGATTAGGGTTGCCAGGGGCTGGAGGCAGGAACAGGGAGTGACTATTAGTGGGTACGAGGGATCTTTTTCTGGGGATGGAAATGTTTTCAAATTGAATTCTGGTGAGGGTTGCATAACTCTGAATATTCACGAAAAATCATTGAATTATACACTTCAAATGGGTGAGTTTTATAATATATAAATATGCCTCAATAATGCTGTTATTTTATTTATTTTATTATTATTATTTTTTGAGATGGAGTTTTGCTCTTGTTGCCCAGGCTGGAGTGCAGTGATGCTATCTCGCTCACCTCAACCTCCACCTCCCGGTTCAAGCGGTTCTTCTTCCTCAGGCTCCCGAGTAGCTGGGATTACAGGTGTGCGCCACCACATCCGGCCAAGTTTTGTATTTGTAGTAGAGATGGGGTTTCTCCATGTTGGTCTGGTTGGTCTCAAACTCCTGACCTCAGGTGATCTGCCAGCCTTGGCTTCCCAAAGTTCTGGGATTACAGGCATGAGCCACTGTTCCCAGCAGTAGTGCTATTTTTTTTTTTTTTTAAGATGGCAGTGCATCTGAGTTAGGAATTCTAGGAAAGGGTAAGATCTGGACATAGAGTAAGGGGTTTTCTGTAAGCACTTGCAGTCGCTTTGAGAGGGTGTGTAGAAAAGGAAAGCAGCCCTCAGTCTGTGTCCTGATGGCATTCCAACATTTCAAGGTTTGAGATTGGGCAGAATGAGGAGGAGACATAAAGAGAGACTGAGGAAACTGCAGGGCAGGAAGAACACTGGGAAAGTGTGGAGTCATGAAAGTGGAGAGAGCTTTGTAAGAAGGGAGTGGTGAACTGAGTAGAATGGTATGGAGAGGTCAGGTACAATAAGGGCAGTGAAGACAATTGGATTCAGCCTCAAGGAGACCTTTGTTGACCTTAAGTGTTGATCTTGACAAGAGCAGTCTCAGCCCAGGGATGAGGACAGAAGCCCAGCTGCAAAGGGGCGAGGAGGAAATAGGAGGGAAGGAAGCGGTGGTGCCTCAACACAGCTCCTTCAGAGAATTTCACTGTAAAGAAGAGCAGAGAAATGAGGATGTAGCTGGAAGGAGAAATCGGGTCAACAGAAGGGTTAAAAGCTAGGCCATTCATTTCTAGAACATGTTAATATGTTGTTGGAAATGGTCCAGAAGAGAGGAGAGTGGTGATGTGAAGGAGAGGGGAAACACCTGCAGAAACTAAGGCCCCCCAGAAGGGCAGAGGGAATGGAACCAGGGCATGAGGAGAAGGTCTGGAGGGTAGGCAGGAGGGCCTCATGGAGGCAGGCAGATGGAGAACCCATATTACTTGATTTTGTTTTCCAGTGGAGGAAATGAGAAGATCTTCAGCTGAGAATGAAGGTGGAGGCAGGGCCACAGGAGCACCTGCCTTATGGCTGATACCCTTCAGTGCCAGGCACATGGCACAGGCTCAGTCAGTCTTCATTGCCATTAAACACTACAGGAGTTTTCAAACTTTGGGAGGCATAGAAGTGATCACCAGGAGTGGTTGTTAAAATGCAGATTTCTGGGTTTTTATTTCAGAGATTCTGATTCAGAAGACCCATGAGAGAGCCAAGAAATCGGCATCCTTAACCAGAGCCCCAGATGTTTCTGATGCAAGTGGCTAGCGGGCTATAGTTTGAGAATCACTGAAAATATGTCTTGAACAATAACGTGCATGAACACACTCCTACAAATAGGAGGCTTTTAATAAAGAATTAATAAGACGCAATTCTTTTCAGCAGACCGTGCCTTAGGCATAATTAGATTTCATGTTTCATAAATAATTAAGACCCATTGCATTTTGTTTTTAGAAAAAGACGAATGTTCTTTGGTTGAAAAAGAAAAGGGAATTAAACATTAATGTATACTTTTCTTTACAGGGGAAAGAGCAGAATGCGGCACCACCAGGTGAGAGTGGGGGAGTCGTGTTTTCTCTTATCTGCTGCCGGAGGTGGGAATGGGATGGGGCTGGAGAGGCACTGCTGGGAGCTGGAGAAGCAGGGATGGCTTCTTCACCAGTATACCCATGGGCTGGTGTGGGTGTGCCCGGGTGAGGCACAGCTGCTGCTTTGCTTGTTCCAGCATTAGACGGAAAAAGCCACGCGCCTCCAGGCTGGCCATGGAAGGGGGTGCTTTTGTGGCTGCTGTGTGACAGTGGGGTACCCTCCCTTTGTGCTGGCCATCAGGTGAGACAGTAATGTCTACTAAGAGTGGCTGAGGGCAGGCTGTAGGGGCCAGAGGCTTTGGGGTGGCTGTTGACCTCTCTCCCCACCTGCTATACTGCGCTGAACAAACTGCCCAGCCTTGGGCAATGCCCAGCCTGAGGTCCCTACGTGCTAAGGCCTTGGGCCAGGCTTGGATTACGCACAGCTGGGCACACGCATGTGCAGAGGAATGCACAGACTCCCTGGCCATCAACACCCTGGCTTGGACCTCATGGGCACTTGGATGGGCTGATAGAAAGTAACACAGGCAACTTCTGCTTTCTCTCTAACTTGTTCAACATCCCCTTTTGCGCTTTTCCCTGAGCAGACCAGAGCCAGTGAACACTTCCCACTCAGCAGCTGATAGCCCAGGGGCTGACTTTCCTCCCCTTTCAGAGAGCGTAGATCCATAAGTTGCTCTGTCACCAACCAGGTTGTTTGCTTAGAGCCTGTTTCATTTCTGCATCCCCAGTAAGAGATACTGCACTGCCTAGCTGAAATTCAGCCAGTGGCGCAGAGGCCTGCACTTTTTCATCCCATGGCAGTAGAGCACTACTTTTTGCCTCACTTTCTGGGCCCAGGGACCTGAGGGCATTCTTTCCTTTCCCACAAATGCTTCCCAGTGGCCCCGAATCCTGGAAAACTGTCAGGTTTGGCAAAGCAAAGATGAACTTCCAACTCTCTCCTGCTCCTTGGGAAGGGAGTGGGGCAGAGGCTTGGAAAACCCTGGGGTTTTCAGTTTCCTGGGCCCAAGATGGGGAGATGGAGGGCTCATCAGAAGTTTAGCCCATACAGTTGTACCTCTGGGCTCTGGCAATTTGGAAACATCAGGATGATTCACACCAGGCAAGCCTTTCCAGCACATGGGGCGGCAGATGTGCAGGTCACTTTCGAAGTACCTTTTAGAAACAAACCCATTATAATTATTTTTTTCTGGCAAGAGAATGTTGCCATAGTCTTAAAACAACAGAAGTCATATTTTACACCAAATTCTGCAAATAGGGAAACAGATGGGGGATGAATTGAGCTGTCCCTCACTTCCTCATAATTCCTAGAACTCATGCAGAGAAGATTGTTCCAGCAGAGAGCAGGAGAGGAAATCTGTAATCAAACCCTTGGCCAGGTCTCAGGGTCCTCCCTCAGGGGAAAGTTGAGGGTTTTTTTGTTTTGTTTTGTCTTTTAAATAAAGCCCTCTGAAGTGTTGTCTTCCATACCCTCTTTGACCTGGGGCCTGGGAAATCCAAGCTGAGTTTGTCAGACCTCCCACTTAGACACCCATCATTCAACTGCAGCTAACCTGCATTAAATTGCAGACCTAGCTTGTGTACTCTGGTTCCTGGCCAAGGTCAAAGGCAACTTTGTTAGTAAACTAAAAGTCTCCCCTTACCTCCAAAATCATTATTTAACTTGTGGAAATTGTTGCCAACAATGTCTCTGTCCTGTGGCTCTGTCTGTATCTTCCATGGGCTTCCCACACATGGTGGATTTGAGCAGGATCCCCTTAGCCAAGTTGTGTCGACCTTGTATAGAGGAATCGGATTTACGTATGGGCTGCAGCATGTTGTATTTTTCTCACACTTCAGAACCTTATCTTAGACCAAATTCATAATAACCCTGTAATTCAGGCTGGCCAGATGTGATAATACGCTTAAATTTAAAAGCATATTATTGTAAATGTCAAAGCAAGATGCAAATATAAGGTTTGATTATTGTGATTCAGATGAATGTCTGCCTCCCCTTACCCAGGTTAACATGCCCTCGCAGTCTGGATTAGAGATTAAATCACTTGAGATCTTGTCCAAACAGATGCAATGCAGTACACAACCCATGCACAGTCTCCAAGGGCCTGACTGCCACCATTTGGGATGTTGACCTCCAGGTCTATTAGGTTATCTAGGGGAATTTTTCATCACATCCTTTTAGTTGCAGGATAATTTTGAGGCCATTACCTGTGTTGCCAACATGTGTTAATTTTCATCTTGGTTAAAAGGCAGAAAGGGGACATTGGTCTCTGGTTTCTCTCTCTTCTTCTCTGTGGCTTTCTCTGTTCCTGTTTTCCCTGCCTCTCTTTCTTTCTTTCCTTTTTGCTCTGCATCTGAGCAGCAGAAGAGATGGAAGGCTTAGGCTGCCCCACTTTGCTTGGCTGAGCTGTCCCCCTGCTCCCCACTTTGTGCCCCACCCAGCACTTCAGTAAGTTGGTATAGATTTGATATTGTTCAAAGTTGGGATAGCTACGTTTCCTTGTCAGAGATTTCAGACAGTGCACAGAGCACTACACAAAGAAAGAAATCCTGGTGTGATTCACGCAGTCCTTTGCTTTCTGGGTTGGGCAGGAAAAGTGGGAAAACATATTCTATTTTGCCTTTATTCCTTTGTGTAAAATTTAAGAAAAAACAAAAACACTTAGAACTTTCTTTTAAGGAAATCCTCCAGTTGGACACCTTAGGTTTTTTGATATTAAATGTCCAACCTTGCTGGCCATGAGAATTTAACAGATAATTTAATGTTACTTCTGGATGTTCTATGATAAAATCACTTTCGTCCTCACACTAGAGCCTGGAGAGTAGGAAGAGCTGAATTTACCCCCAGCCTCAATCACATTTTATTGTGTGACCTTAGGCAAGTTTTTTCACCTCTTATGGGCTCACTGGCCTTGTACGTAAAGTGAATTGAATATTCTTTCCCAACCTCACGGGGTTGTTGTGAGGTTATCCTGCAATGTGATAAAGAAATGATCTGGGAACGTTCAAAAACAGAAACCAGACACTGAAAACTGGCTGACAATGTTGCTATCCTCAAGTTATTTCTAATCCCCCAGTTAAAAACTTATGGCCTTGTGTCACATTTTTGACACTCTCTTTTACCTTTGGCATTTGAAAATTTAAGAGCAGATCCTGAAGAAACCCCCCCCCCCCGACACATGCACATACATCCTCAAAAATAAGTAATTTTTGAAAGAGAAATGACATGGACTTAGCTAACCAAATTGACATAGATCCAAGATGGGCTTGAAATAATCTTGCCTGTTGTTTCTTTTCAAAATTTTGATCTGTGCTGTTATTTTGTTTCCATTGTTTGGGTGGCATGATATTTGGATTGACCTGGTTTTTGCCCATGCATGTACTGGAGCTAGCAGCATTTGCTCAATACTCAAACACCTAGGAGAAGTTGGTTAGCAGCCCTGGATGGCTGGGCTTCTGAGGAAGACAGGTACAACAAGCCCAGTCAGCAGAGGCAGCATGAATCTCATTTATCCTGATTGGCTGCATAGTCCAGAAGATTTCTTGCCCACTCACAGAAATCAGTCAAGATTTGGGGGACCAGGTCTTTGCTTGTCATGTGTGGACATGATCTGTGCCTGGCTGAGTCCCCACTTGTTGCTATCCAAATTTTGAACCCAGCCATTTGAAAATGAACTGCCTCTCTTGGTTAGGGGCCCTCTTCTCAACCTTAAAAAGCCCTTTGCCCTAGAAGGCTGGTACCATTGAGTCAGGCCAACTTGTGTGGTGAAATGAGCAAATAAGCCTACACAGGTATATGCATGGTCAGCAATTCTGGAAACGGGTTCAGTTTGTGGCTGTTTCACTGGTGAACTGTGGTGTGGTTACCCATCCCTGTGGCCAAGAGTGGAGTATACTTTAGGAATGACAAACCTAAAGTAAAGTAAGACACTTTCAACCTGATCCCATGGCAAAGGTTACTGGGATAGATGAGTCCTTGGCTGGAAATAAAAAAGTGCCCTAAGGCTCCATGATGGTGGCCTAGAGAAACCCCGAACTTGGAGCCAAACAGTTTCAAGTCCCACTGTCAGTTCTCCTTCAGAGGAGGCTTCAGTTTCTGCCTCTGTAAAATGGGGCCACAAATTCAGGGTTGAGATGATGTTAAGTATAGTAACAGATTTGAAAGTGCTTTAACTGAAAGTGTGCTTGAGGCCAGGTGCAGTGCCTCACTCCTGTAATCCCAGCACTTTGGGAGGCCGAGATGGGCGGATCTTGAGATCAGGAGTTCGAGAACTGCCTGGCCAACATAGTGAAACCCCATCTCTACTAAAGACAAAAAATTAGCCGGGCCTGGTGTTGTGCACCTGTAATCCCAGCTACTTGGGAAGCTGAGTCAGGAGAATCGCTTGAATGCAGGAGGCAGAAGTGGCGGTGAGCTGAGATCATACCATTGCATCCCAGCCTGGGCTACAGGGTGAGATTTCGTCTCAGAAAAAAAAAAAAAAAAGTGTACTTGACTAAAGAACAGGATAGTACCATCATCCTGGGCCACCTGGGAACCCCAAAGAAGTTACAGACTCCCTCATGACATCAGTTTCTTCATCTCTGAAATGAGAATAGTAATTGCCTGGCTCTTAGATCAATGAAATAAAGATTAGTCAAGTGCATTTGAAATGCCAAGAGGCATTAGGAAGATCAGTGCCCTGATACAATGGGAGTTGAGACTTGGTGATAAATTTAAGCCAAAATAATGAAAATTAACCCTCATAATCATGTTTGAAAGTCTCTTGCTTTCTCAGGCTACAGATTATATATCTCTCCCCTGATTCCCCCTCCATCTGGTCAGCTTTGCAGGATGACAGCCTCTGATTGGAGTTTCAATGATTTCTTGCACATGTACTATTTTCCCCCTAAGATTTAGAATGTATTTGCATTATGTAAGAGTTGCTACTGCTTGGCATTGTGGGTAAATTAAGATCCCCTAAAACATCCAATGGCCTTCAGATGGAACATTGGAAACCAATGTCTTGGCAGGGGGTTAGGGGCTTCCATTTACATTTTGTGTTCTCCTTTAGTCATGGGTTTTAAGAGCATCTTTCCCAGTTGTATGTTTATGTTGGTTGCTTTCTTGATTTCTTTTGTTCCGTTTTCCCCTAGGCCCCCCTGTCTTCCCCCTAAACCACAGAAAATGAGGAGACCTAGGCCTCTCTCAGTGTATAGCCATAAACTCTTTAACGGCAGTATGGAAGCATTCATTAAGGTACTTGCTGGGGAGCCGTGGAGTCCGCGAATGTGCCCAATGTAATGGCAGCCTCTGTCCACCTGCCTCCCTGCCAGCAGACAGCCCTGTTCTTGGCCAGGCCCTGTGGAGCTAGTTCCTTGCTGCAGCCTGCTGTTAGTTTCAGCGAGGACTTTTCACAGGAGCCACTGTGGCCTCTAACCAGTTGCTCCTAAAGTGCCCTGCGCAGTTCTCAGCCCTGGGGTAGGGATCAGATCATGACAGAACCCAGAGAAGTCCAAGTGGGGCTGAAATACCAGTGCAGCATGCCCAGCCAGCTACGCTTCATTGCTTAAGCAACTGTAGTCCTAACACCTGAGGGACAGTCAGAGAAACCCTATTCCCTCACTTCACACCCACATCTCCCAGGAGGAGCTGAATTGAAAGCAACACAGAGGAAATCCCTGTAGATATCAGTGTGTTTTTATACACATGATTTTTTTTAGTTGCATATATATATCAGCAAAGGAAACACATACAATTTTTATGAGAGAAAATCCTCCTACCTAGTTTTGCTTCCCGTTAGGTGGTTTGGGAGAAGGGAGAAGAGTTGAGGTTGTCCCTATTGAATTCTAGGTTAACCCTTTATACCTTAAACTAAAAATTAAAATAGTTCATCCAAGCGAGTTTCTCTTTTCTTTCCTCTTTGGTGTAAAGGGTATGAGATCAAGCCATATCAGATATAATGGCTCAAGGGAAATTAAGATGATGATGGAGAGGCGAAGAGTGGGAAGATACTTGAGGAAGGGGAGAAGCATTCTTAACATTACTTAGAGGAAGGGGGGAGGTTCCTGCAAATGATTTGAGAGCCCACTACCTTCTAATGAAGACATTCTCTGCAGAGAAGATGATAGATACCAATCAAGAGCAAAAATGAAGGCTCTTCGGCTTTGCCAATGACTTTGGAGTTATGGAGGATGCTCGTGTTCCGGCTCTCTACTCATGGTCCTCAGACAGGGTCCAGCACAGGACTTGCAGGACAGCAAGAGACTGGATATGGGTTTGGCCTTAGGCAGGGGAGAGGGTAAGCAAGACCAGCCTGGGTCCCCGGACTGTCTCTTTCTGTGGGCTGAGTTCTGAGGAAGGGAGAGTGAGGGAAGACTAGGGCCCAAGTCGGGACTGCCCAGGGGTGAGGAATGTCAAGGGCTGCTGTAGGGATGCCTAACAAGACCAAAGCATGGAGGATTCCCAAAAGGAGGGGCCCATGGGTGCATTAGGAAGGAAGATCAAGAGGTAACCCAGAGGGAGTGGTTTATTGGGTCATGGGAGGGTGGGGCTGTGCCAAAGGAATCCTCTGTCTCCATCCTCCTTCCTCTCTCCTCCAAGACTTTCTTCTTTCACCTTTGCCCCTAAAAAAGCCACAGTCCATGAGGGGACTAGTTATTCTCCCCTCCCTCAAGAAGCCAGTAGTGGAGCTTGGGAGATAATAAATGCAAAAGGCAGAAAGTGGAAGGTGATTTAAGATGAGCACCTAGTGAGTTATCCCCACAAAAACAAGTTCAGGACAGGTGTGGTTGCTCACACTTATAATCCTAGCACTTTGGGAGGCTGAGGTAGGAGGATGGCTTGAGCCTGGGAGGTCAAGGCTGCAGTGAGCTATAAGCCTGGGAGGTCAAGGCTGCAGTGAGCTATAATCGTGCCACTACACTCCAGTCTGGGTGACAGGGTGAGACCCTGTCTCAAAAATAACAACAAAACAAGTTTAGAGCAAGAAGAGCTATGAACTCAAGCACAGGAGGCTTCTGGAGGGGCTTTGAAGGAAAGGTGGGAATAAAGAGAAGAAAAGGACAGACGGAATGATTGAAAGGAGGAACAGAAGGAATGAACGCTCAGAGACAGGGACATCCTCAGTTTGCTTAGGTCTTTGGAAATGGGTAATTAGTCAGGATACTTAGAAGGAATCAACTCTCATCTGACGGTACTTGACAAGAAGATGTTCTGTTGAATTAGATATTTTTGTAATAGGTCCGACATATCAGATGTGACTATAAAGTAATCTGACTTTATTCCTTTCACCAACACATCAGAACCTACTCAACCACATGAGTGTTTGCCCCTTTGAGGCAGTCACCTTGGGAAGCCACCTTCTTACCTGAATGTGTCGGCATTGCTGCAGCTGCTTTGGTCAGTCTTCTTTAGAGCCTTAAGCATGGCCTTTACCAGTGTGGCCAAGACTTTGTATTCAAATGGACACCTTGTCTTTGGAATAGAAAGCTCCACTTGGAAGCTGAGCTTTGTGATGCCATTGGAGGTGCAAAATGGCAAGAGGAATTGCTACAGTGGGACCGTTTCCCTGGCCCCTGAAAGAGCCCTCAAGCAGCACCAGCCCAGAGCATTAGAGCAGCGGCAGCACTGTTAGAATAAGTGCATCATCTCCTAAGGGGAAAAGTTGGAGGAATAATACTCATTTGACTGGGAAAAAAGGTGTATTTGTTAAATACTATTTCATTCATTCATTCATTTATTGAGGCACAGTCTCACTGTATCACCCAGGCTCGAGTGCAGTGGTACAATCACCACTCACTATAGCCTTGATCTCCTGGGCTCAAGTGATCCTCCTACCTCAGCCTCCTGAGTAGCTGGGGCTACACACATGCACCATGATGCCTGGCTAATTAAAAAAAAATTTTTTTTGTAGAGACAGGGTCTTACTATGTTGACCAGGCTGGTCTTGAACTCCTGGGCCCAAGGGATCCTTTCGCCTTGGCCTCCCAAAGTGCTGGGATTACAGGCATGCACCACTGTACCTGGCCTTACTATTGCATTGCTTTACAGTCACACTGTAATCATCAGATACTATCAGTGCAGTTCAACAAACTCATACTGTGCACCTACTATCAGCTGGTCAGTGTTTTACAGCACAGTTTTACTTTGAAATATTATTAACTTTCAGAGAATGTAAAGGCAGCATAATGTATTCAATCCTTCAACTACTGAGAAAGGAATTTAATTTTCTATTATAATTCGCATGCCATCTGAAGGAATATTGAACCAAGAGTCCCCAGTTGTGAAAAACCACACCTGCGAAAAGCTTTTCAATAAAATAACACCTCTGGGCCCTACAATTATGATGGTTTAGAGGGACAAGGAAGCATCCTCAGGTTAATAATAATAAGTAAATATTGCTAGGGTTTGATTTATACATTTCTAGGACCCTACCTGAATAAACAAACCCCTTTCAAAATCCTTGATATTTTTTCATCCTCTCAGACAAAACGAGGCCTCATTTTTATAAGAGCCAGTTTTGAAGCCCAAGAGATTCACCTCTGGGACAAGGAGAGAATCCTCATCCTGTTTCTGTAAAATAAGCATGATAATTACCTACTTCATGAGTTTGTGAGGAACATTAAATGAGCTAATATATGTTATGTTTCTAGAGCACTGGATGGCACATAGTAAGCGCTATGTATTACCTATGATGATTAGCATTAATTTTAGCATATTGTTCACAGAGCCTGTTAAACCAGACTGTTTGCTCAGTTCTGGGATTCTGGTAGATTTAGTCAGCATGTCAGGTAGCAGACAATTCCAGTTGTTGAGATGCTGAGACTGGACAGATCATGCTAGCTAGAAGGCACACATCTTCCAGGAGCCTGGATGGAATAAGTGCTCACCCCAGAGATGGACCTGCTGCACAGATGGAAAAAAACAGACAGCACTCCCCTGAAAATGGGCATCATCAGTGGCTTTTAGTGAAAGTAAAGGTTCCAGTTCTGTCCCCAGGTTCATGAAGGCATTCTGACTCAACTTTCCTCCCTCCTCTAGGCATTTCTCAGCTCTTGCATTCCTTAGTGCCAGTGTAAGGATCAAGAGGGTAGGAAGGAAAGCAAAGCCAAGTGGAAACCCAAGAAAAGCAACTTAGGGTGGATGGTAGGGACACATGGGAAGCTGTTTGAAATTTGGTGTCAGGTGGAATCCTATGGGCCTCTATCGAGAAGGCACCTTGTAGACATGATCTTGTTAGAACTGAACTTTTTACCAGGAATGAGGTTTCTTGAGCTGAATTCCAGAGACACTGTTCCAGTGGACATAATGGTCTATTTCTCTGCTTTTTGTGGGCAGCTGGGAATACCTTACAAGGTTGTAGGTAGACTTTTGTCCATGGGTGCATAAACAGTCTCTTGTTGAAGAGAAGCTAGGTACAGGGATGGGAATGGGTCCAGTCCACATAGTTGCTGCTCTTTCACAAGGACTGAAAGAGGCCCCCCGTGTCAACTGGTATCTGGAAGGGCAGCCTAGGCAGCCATGTGGGAAAGCTGGCTGGGTGGCTTCCAGAAGTTTCATGAGGCTCCCAGGCTTGGGGGTGGCCCTCCCCACAGGCCAGCTGTTTGGCAGGCTCCCCAGGACCTTGGCTGGCTGCCATTGCATTTCAGCGTTCACGGACTCTGAAGGATCTGCTTACTCTAACTGATCTTGTTCCTGCTTAATCTTTTCTTTTTCTCCTGCTCTGCTGCCTGTTTATTTTTTGTTATCAGAGGAAGAAGAAATGCTCGAACCAGGAACCAGGTATTTACTAGAAAGGCCCGTTAGCCCCATTCACCACAATGGAAACTGTCTTTAGTAGTGAATTCCAGAATAGAGCCCACCTTACCTGTTGCTGATGGGTCCACATTCTTGTCCTCTCCCTGGGCACAATCAGTCAAGGAAAAAATTCACAGGTGGGGTGTGGAGAAGCCAAGAATGTATTCAAATCTATGCTGTCTTCACAAGAGCATATTACATGTGCGTCATTGCTTACTCACCTTGTGAGGAGGCTGGGCATTTAATTCGGCCCCTTTTAAAGAAAGTTTAAAATAATTTGATGCTCTTTAAGTGACATGGACTAACAGAGAGGTCAACCAATCATGGAATTGAAAAGAAAATGTGTCTCCCATCCTCCACAATCATTTGTTGCTGTAGACCAGTCTAGGAAGATGTCATTGAAAATAGATTCACATCCCAGGTGGAGAATTGCATCTTATTCAGCCTTTTAGATGAAGGTTGACCCCTAGATGGCCAATGACTGACATTGGCTGCCTCTGGAGCTTTTCCCTATGACATGTTTACTGTGAAACGCAGTATGCATCTGGGTGTTGAGTTGTGACTTCATGAGTAGAACTGGTCTACCCTTCTTAGAGTTCAAAATTTTCATCAGGGATCAACCTTGCTTGTCCCATGGTGTGCTCTTAATTCTGGCATCAGGTGCTGCAGTAATAGGATGAGGACTTGATCCTTGAGTACTGGGAAAATAGCAGTGAGTAAAGACAAAGTGGAGGCAGAGAACTCTTCAAGGCCAGACTCCAGCCCCCCTCTATATGGTGGTTCCCTCTCCATTGCCCAAGTGGGCCTACCATGCCTCCTGAGCCCAGGTTCCTTGCCGACTGGGTAAGAAGACAGAGCATTTCTCTAAAATGATCATAGCTATGCCTTTTTGTGCACACAGCTGAAGGCTCTCTATTGTAACTGTCTGTGGAGACTTCAGGATTAGCAGTTCCTTGCTTGTTTTCCTACTAATCCGATGGTACTAATATTCTGGCTTGAGTCTGTAATCTGTGTTTGCAATGTCTTTTTCCTGTGGTGGTTGTCAAGTCCCATAAAACTCACAATTTTTCTTTTCTTAAGGATTCAGGACAAGCTATACCACTTGTAGTCGAGAGCTGCATCCGTTACATCAATTTATATGGTAAGCTGGATCTTGGGCCAGTGTTTTCAGCAATCTGCACAACAGGTGCTAGGCTGTTCTGATAGGAAATGAGAGTCTAATTCGTCCTGGAAGACTTCCCATCATGGGTCTGCTTTTAGGGGAAAATACGGCCTGCAGCAGCTGCTCTTCTGAGTGCTGCTTTTGAGCCTGTGTGTTGGGGGATGGAGATCATGGTAAGAGGATCCAAGACCTAGGAAAATGAGAGTAGAAAGGGCATGGACAAGATAACTAAACCCTATAGCTCTGTGCTTTGAGGACTGAATGGAGTTGACCAATAAATCAGCTAATACTACTAGATTATAAGCTCCATGAAGGTATTACGTTGATACAAAAGTAATTTTTGCTCTTACCTTTGAATGGCAAAAACTGTAACTATTTTCGCACATGGTGTCTGAGATTTGTTAGCCATGGTGTCACCAAAACATAACTGGTGTTTATCCACTCCTTCATTTCTCCAAAACTATATTTATTGAGTGCATGATAGGCACTGCTTTGGGCAATGGGAATATAGGCATGAACAAGACAGGTACAGTGCCTGCCCTGCATAGCTTACATTTCCAATGAAAAGGGCAAGGAGATTATCAAGTGGAAAAATAAATAATATCATTTGAGATAGTGAAAATGCCATGAAGCTAATTAAAAGGGAATAGAGAATGGCTGGAGGGGAGGGGAGGTGCTTTGGCTAAGGTGGTGAGGAGAGATGTCTCCAAGGGGGTGATGTTTGAACTAGGTAGTACCTGAGTAGAAGCAGCCAGCTATGCAGTGGAGAGAATGGAGGATGGTGAGTGGAAAGGCCTAGTGTGGGGAGGAAGGTCAGTGTGGCTGGGTGGTAAGGAGCCAGGAGGATGGGCTCAGAGACTTGGGTGGTAGAAGTTCAGTATTGTTTAACTAAAGAGAGGAATAAGCATTTATTGAGGCCATACTATGTACAAACCAAACTTTGACCAAAGCCTGCCTTTGAGAGTAAACGCTTCCTAAATTGTCATGTGGAAAATTGTTTTATATAGAAAAATAGAGATAGGAAAAGTATCACAGGCTCCCTCATTAATTCCCATTTAAGTGGAAACAGACCCTTTAATTCCTTCAGCTGTGCAAGCTGCTCTTATGTCATTACTGTCTTGTCAGGTATAAGGGTCTTCTCTTTGTTAAGGCCTTGTAGAAACATGTAAAAAAAATGAGATTATTTTACTTAATAATTTAATCTCTCCCAAGTCCAAGCCAGAATGTACCCTAGAGTCTAGCTTTTCTTGAAGGCAGAACATGTCTGTGAACAGGGAAGGAAAGGTATTGATACAAACTTCTTGTGGCCTTTTCCTTTAAGCTCAAACAGAAGATCACAAATGTATAAAGCAGATGTGTCCAAGGATTTTGGCCAGCTGTACTTCACTGTGAAGGCCATTTTTGGAGACCTTCATAGGGAATGACTCTGTTATAAAGGATGGGGGGGAGAAAGGGAAAAGCAATGGGGAGAGTCACCAATATTCATGGTGGTCTAATGAGTTTATTATTTCTTTTTTGTGTCCTTCTTTTTTAGGACTCCAGCAGCAGGGGATCTTCAGAGTGCCAGGATCTCAGGTGGAAGTCAATGACATCAAAAATTCCTTTGAGAGAGGTGGGTACAGAGCGACCATCTTAAGCTTGTGCTAGGGGAAACCGGGGTGAACATTCACATGTATCTTGGAGCTAGTGGTGTGGAGGAGCTGATTGTGTACATCTCTTCCCAACTTCACATTCAGTGACTTTGTCCTGGTACTTGGAATAAGCCATGACTGGAGTGTTTACACCACAGAAATTGGCAAACACTGAGTTCTAATTGTTTCCCACCAAAGAGCTAACTGTTTAACATTTACTTACCACCAGCACGAGCATCATCGCTCTCACCATCACCACCACCACTACCACTACTACTACTATTACTACTGTTACTGCTTACGGGTGACTTTCTGCAGCAGACTGCACAGTGGTTGCCGGGAAAGGGTTCCTTGTAAAGAGCTCTGGAATATTTATGTGAATCTGTAAAGGATGATACATTTTAGAATTGGAAGAACATAGAAAATACTGAGTGGCTTTTAGGATATCTTAATTTTTAATTTTTTATGCAGTAGTTTTGGCAAGCCACACATTAGGAGGAAGAGATTATATACTCCCTCCCCCCCTGGAGAGAGGATCTAGTTCCCATATCAATTTAGGCAAGGATATGAAAGCTTATTAGAAGTAAGGTGGACCACTAGACCAGGACATGTGATATATTTGGTGTAGTCTCTCTGGGCCTCAGAATCCCTGATAGGAACAGATGGCCAGTGACACTGCTTAAGCCAAGTGAGGACTCACTGGGTTAGGAAACACTCAATTCTTACACCTCTGCCTTTGAATATTCAATGCTTATCTCACTGCTACACTGAAACAGAAAATCCATGTATTTTCATTTGAGGAAATATTTTCAATCCCGCTCCCTGATTCTAGAACAAAACCCAACATTAACAAGTCCATAACCTCATCCTAAGGGAGGAAAGAAGAGTTGGAATATAGGTATCCCAAATAATATCTCTGCCTCCAGTTTTCCAGTATTTGAAAAGGTCATGTCTCCATGATCCATTCCTTCTCAACTCTGATTTACTGCCTTCTTCTCTGAGTGGTTTTGGTACTGAGGACCCCAATCCCACACCCCTTTACTAGCAGTACATCATATCCCAGAACGTACGGTTTACCCCTGTTGGCTGTGCTCTGAGCAGGCCTCTCTCTGTGTTTCTTACGTATTACCTAGCTCCCCTCCCACCCCGAAGGAGCTGCCTCTTGAGCAAATTCTCTGCCTCCCAGTCCTCTCCATTCCATCCTGAAGTGGAGGGAGCATTCTGCAGCCCCAAGCAGTACTGCCATGGCCTGCAGGCACAGACCCACTGGGGATGTCGGCACTCTGTGTTGGAACGATGTGTAGACACTGAAATTTGGCTGTATTTCATGCTCAGTGGCCTCCTAGGATCTAGGAGAGCTTTGTTTCAGGAGCCTGCTCCAGGATCTTGGGTGCTTAGCACCAGGGAGCCCCGGGACCTCCTTGTTCCAGCTCCTATTCAGGCATTGAGCCCTACACCATACAAGGTAATAGCTTAGGGCCTGGAAATGCAATATGAACAAAACACAGTCACTACTAGTCGGGGAGCCAGTTTAGTCAACAGCCAGTATAATCAGTGTACTGAGGAGCATAGGAGCCCCCAGCCCAGCCTGGATGGAGCGGGGAGGAATAGCAAAGGCAGGGAAGGTTTCCTTGGGAGAAAATGCCTAAGCTGAGGCTTGAAGAGCAAGAGCCAGGGGAAGTAGGGGCAAAGAAGGGGCATTCCAGGCCAAGAGAACAGCATGTACAAAGGCCAGAAAGCAAGAGGTCTCTCTCATCAGTGTCCCTGATGCAAGTGTCATTCGCTATTGCTCTAAGCCTCTCTTGACAGCACTGGACAGTCCAATCCAGAGTTTTGTTTCTTCATTTCCTGAACTCCTTACACTCCTGCTGCCCTGTATGCATTTACAGTGAACAGAACTGTAGTCTGGAACCTTTGCTGGTTGCCGCCTCCTGGGCTCAACCCATTATACGGAACACCTTGTCACCCTGCCTTGAATCTCATGAGCAAACTCACTGCATGGTGCCTCCAGCCTGGCAACCACCTTGCCTGACATTTCCCTTCCTTTCCATATTTTGTAGGTAACCTTGTTGCCACAGGCAACCCCACCCTTTCCCTACCTGGTAGCAATGCTTTTTTTCCTTCTGAATGTGATTTTCTAAGGTCAGCACCTCCTGTCACTTGCTTTGGTGCTTTGCGGGGGTGATGTGCAATTTAAAAGAATTCTCTGCTCCTAACAAGCCTTGGATCGCCTCAGGCAGTGCCCAGCTGGGCAGAGAACACCTGAACTAAATCTCAGCTGCAAAAAATATTTTCTCCTTTTTCTTTGCCTCACGTCTGCAGTTGGCCTCACTCCCCCTCCCCATTGTTCCAAAACGAATCTCATTCTTTTGCCAGCCTGGTCCTTCTGCTCCACCAGAGCCAACAATGAAGCATGCTTTCTTCAATAAGAATAGTTTCTAGTATGTCTCTTTTAGAAAAATCCTTTCCTGGATTTTCTGGGTCAGTACCAGATTTCTCACTTACTCTTTTCTGTTCCTTGATATTCACCAAGCACATTCCCTGGGTTTGGCTCCTAACCTGACTGACCCTCAGGGCCACCATCTCCTGCACCTACTCAGACTAGGGTCTTCCCTATTCCTGGCCCTCAGCCTGCATATCTCTGTGTTCCCCTGGCGACGGAGTGGCCTGAACCCAGGCCTGGCTCAATATTCTCTTCTCGCCCACTCTTCACATCCCACATGGTTTAACTCGTGACTAAATTTCCTCTCCAAACCAGTACATTGTATGTGTTTCCTTTCTTCCTATATTTTATTCACTTATTTATTTTTGGAGACAGGATCTCTGCCTCCCCTGGCTCAGGTGATCCTCCCACCTCAGTGCCCCCCGAGTAGCTGGGATTACAGGTGTGTACCACTGTGCCTGGCTAATTTTTCTATTTTTTGTAGCGATGGGGTTTTGCCGTGTTGCCCAGGCTGGTCTTGAACTCCTGGGATTTCAGGTGTGAGCCACTGCTCCAGCCTCTTCCTTTTATTTTTTAAAATTAAATCTAATCCCTGCAGGGTGCCTATCCTTCACCACTTGTTAAAAGGGATTTGGGTCTTGTTCTTCCTTGGCCCCATGTTTCCTTTCTCCTGGGCAGAGGTCTTCCCAAAGTTCCTTGCCTAAGGCTGTTGAAAGGAACATAGTTTTCTTTTCCTTAAGCTCCTGAAAAGTGATAGCATATTGGAAATCCACTCCTGGCTTATTATTCTTAAGTCTACTTTTTTTTTCCTTTTCATATGAGTCAGCCAGAGTTTTAGTTGGAATTCTTTTTGTTGTTGTCGTCAGTAAATCTTAAACTCGCTGCTCAAGTTTTGAGATCTCCCTATAAATATTCTGACAAAATGAAGGAGAAAAAAAAAAACACATCATGAAAGGCAGGAATTAGCAGCTGAGCTGTGGAGTGAGCTGTGGTTTGCTCTTGTCTCCCAGAGGATCCCCACAAGCCTCTCTCTTGGTACCACCTTTGTATGCACAGATGGGAGTGCTGAGATCTCTCCTCATGTGGAGGGGGTGCTTTGCCAAAGAGGCAATGGCTGTCTTCTGCTGTGGTTCTAGGCAGGGTTTGGATGTGGGGCTGAAGCCATGCCGTGTAGGCTCTGGCACACTCTAGACTTGGATCTGACCCTTCTGAGATCTGTGTCCTATCTCGAGAAGAGGATGGAACCAGGAGGTGCTGGGCCGGGTTGTTGTGTTGAGGGACTTGAGGACCTGTGGCCAGAGAGAACTGCCCTCGTGAGAGAGACTGACTCCAAGCTTCCAGCAGCAGGTCTGACAGAGCCTTTAAGCACAAACTGTGCACTCAGTCTCATCCTTGGGTACAGCCCTGCCTTAAAGCCATTGGCAACGCCCGGTGATCTGGGTAAGAGTAAGCTGCAGGCAGGGCCATTTGTTAACAATGCCACCTCCCCAGGACATTAGTTAGCCAAGTGTGAACATGGCTTTCTTTCAGATTTGTCTGGAATGTTAGCTCTGATTCTCCTCCTGGAGAAAGCGTCATTCACAGGAACCATTCAGCTCATCTTGAGCTCTGGGATTCCATTCTCAGGGCCAAAACTGACTAGCTTGCAGAGAGCCAAAGACCTGGGCTAATTGAAAAGAATATTTGGGCAGCTCCATTTATGGACCGAGGGCCTTGCAGGAGGGATGGCGAGAACTAATGGCATGTGTATGTGTATGTGTACGTATGTAAAGTCAATATGCTCATCATGTTTAACAATAGGAGCTAGTACTAGGCAATATGGAGGAAAATATCCACGTGTTTTTGAATCATGAGACCACAGGAATGATGTGTGGAGCTAATAGGAAAACAGCTTAATATGGTATAGTTTTTGAATGCCTTAGGCTGCTACAGGGATAGAGAGGGAGGCTGAGGAGGTCAGGCTTAGACATCTACCACCCCAGTTCAACTAAGACAGCTTTGTTCTATAAGTTGGGATTTCATAGGACATTTTTACTGAGAAATAAAAAGGTTGGGATTCCACTGTAAAGGATGGAAGGAAGAAAGGAAGGAAGGAAAGTAGGTAAATATGTACCTATTTATATAAGCAGGCATACATTGCAGACAAATAGATCCAAAAATCACAGGGAGAAGAAAATATATCTCCCAGGGATTATGAGACCTTGGAGCTGCCAGCATCTGTTGTTGATTTTGTGATTTTGGGCACACTGCTTCACCTGCCAGGGCCTCAGCTCTCCCACAGGAGAGAATGGTGATGTTGGAGCCATGTCTCCCTTAGTGCCATGCAATGCTGTTGTGAGGGTTAGGAGAGATTGTATGTACAAATGTCCTTCTCACTTGAGAAGTGCTGTGTGAACACAGGTGATTTTTGGTGTGTATTTTCTCTCCTCCTTCCCTACAAGAAAGTCTTATGGGGACAGCATTCTTACCTCCTCCAGCGGGAACATTTGAGAGATTGACCTATCGAACACCAGTATCTGGGCCACTGTGCACTATTGT